TCTTTATTAGATAGAAATTTCAGATAAGAAACACTTATACTGCCATCAATATGCAGTGGTTATAGATGAATTAGTAGTAATCATCATCAGTATCGTCATTTTGAGAGAACACATAACAAAGAGAATTTGTGCGACAATAAAAGGGTAGACTTATTCATTCGTTGGCTATACGTTACCCTAATTAGGAGCGGAATATTGCTGATTGAAACTGCCGCAACTGTAATGTCAAAGTGACCAATCACAAGCAACACTGTCAGTTGTTTATCTCACAGACGGGTAGGTACAGTAGGGTCCATCGACAGGTTACGGTGGGGTCTATGACGTATAATTATAACTACGCTTATCGCAGCATTTCTGTGTTCAAATAATGACATAAGTTATATATTATTTAGATATTTGACACTAAATTATGAATTGGCAAACTATTTACGAGGTATTTACTTGTAAAGCTTCTGAGTTTTCCTAGTCTGTGACCGTAAATGCTGCTTCATAATTATGTCTAGGCCTTTAAGTCAAACACAAAGTTGTATTTTCATTTTGTGCATATCCAAACCAAGTTGACTTTTAACAAATTGAAAAAACTTAAGCTTTGGGTATATGATATTCATTATAACAAAGGTTTTTTGTATCTCCCAATGAATAGGAAACAAAACGATAATATTATTGAATTAAATTTTGATTTTCCCGTCGATTGATTGGACCGAAGTGCTCGGTCTCAGGTTGATATGTCGGCTTCTTGACGAGTCCCAAATAGGACGAAATGAACATCCTGGATTCCACTGCTAGTCACCATGCAGCAATTATATACTAAAACGATAATGTTTTTACGCTATTTAATGCTAACAGCTCTATGAAAGTATTATTAAACCAGAATTTACAAAATCTCAGCTTATATATAACAAATTAATCATCGTTCCTCAACATGGGGTCATTTTTGTGTTGTCAAGTCTGCCAATTGGTATAGGTAAAAAAACCGAGTGTGGATTTGATAAGCGTATAAAATTATAAAAGCAGCATTTGTTTACATAGTGAAATTACTTATCATTGATTTTGTAGAGAAGGTTAGTCTGCATACAAAAGAAGTTTGTTCAGTCATTAAATCTACAGTGGACATGACCTACTTTAACACCGCATACCTAGTTTTGTTTCGTCTTTCCCTTGCTTGCTTGTTTCTTAATTGTATAACATTTTCCCCGCACCCCTTATTAAATCTCTACACCTTATCACCGCTGTTGTTAACTTGACTTTTGTTGTTTTAATTTTAGCTGAGCTCTACTCAACCTTGTCAATCAGATTACGTCGCTCAACTTGCTTATTTAATCTTACTTTAGTTTTTAACCCATTAGCGGAATTTGTTGCCTAAAGCTTACAATTCTAGTTTAATTTTAGTTTCTATCCGATTAACGCTTTCTGCATTGCGTAATGTGTTCACTAAAATTTACAAGTCTAATGATAAATATTAGAAAATGTTCATTTTATTGCTAAGAGAATTATATATGCGATTGTACAGCTTGAGAACGATATCGCCGCAAACAGTGACTCTTCACTGAATGAACTTTCTTTAATCTGACTCTATGGGAATTTTTAAATTATTTCAATATTGGGTTTACGAAACGGGTTCTTGGCCCCGGTACCGCTGTAGCTCGGCCCAGCTATATCTCTATTTCTACCCGGTCCACCCGTACAGGCATTTTATGCTACAGCGGTACCGGGGCCAAGAACCCGTTTCGTAAACCAAAAAACCAAACATAAAATGCCTGTACGGGTTCTAGTGGGAAGCCGTGACCAGTAGGGTACAGCAGGTTGAAGATGAGGCAGTAACTCATCGAAGAAGACATTGCGAAGTGGTCGCGCTATGTCGTGAACTGGCAGAAGTTAGAATTCAAGGACCATTGGATCGGGTCCCAGTGGCTCAATGGTCTACGAGCTCGCCTTGTAACCAGAAGGTCCTGGGTTCGAATCCCGGTGGGCGCGTACTGCTGAGGAGTCCCAAACTAGGACGAAACAGCTGTCCAGTACTCCCAGGTTTTCCAGTGGTTCTCTAACTGATGTCAGCTCATGATCAAATCCTCCATGCAATCAAACAAAATCCCTACAACAAACCAATACTTAAAAAATATTTCAATATTGTCAAAATCAATTTTGTGACTTGATTCTATAACCTCATCTATGGCTGATGATTTTCCAGTTCATCTGGATTTCTCGACGGTCGAACAGATGCTCTACAGTGTTCATTTCTTCTGATCTTGTTTTCTCGCGATGTATATTGCATCACATTCCAAGCATTTTATTTTATAGACAATTAGGAGAATCCTCTGGAATTTGGGTCTTTTACATGGACAAGGTTGCTTCGTAGTGTGTTTGATGTTTTGAGGAAAACTTTGATGTTCTGCTGATTGGGTAGACTTCTGATATCGTCTGACATTTCTGATCTATGTAGAATGACAATTGTTGAGGTCCATTTCTTCAGAATACGTTTCCAACCGTATTTAATGTCGGTGGTGATTTCGTTCCTGAAGATCTTTTTCTTCAGAGTCTCAGTAATGTTTGATATTTCTTCTTCTTATTCCTTCTGATTCGTTTTCAAAGAGTGTGGTCGTCTAAGAAGACTTGATACAACTGATACCTTTGCGTCGATGGAGTGCGTTTTCTTCCTGAATATAGGATATATCAAAATATCCGTTTTCCTTCATCTTAACTAAGCAGTCTAGAAATGGAAGTTCACCGAAGTCTGATTCTGCTTCTGAGGTAAACTGGATGCTTAGAGATAGACTGTTCAGTTCCTCCGAGAATGAATTGTGTAGATGTTCTTTTAGCCCAAAAAAAGTATCATCAACGTATCTCAGACATATTTGAGGCGTGATTATGTTTGAAAATGTATTCAGAAAGAAATCAGACTGTTGGGGAGACTGAACCCATAGCAACACCATTCATCTGTATATATAAATTCGCTTTAAATTGGCTTCCAGACAGAATTTTAAGCTCTTAATTATTTCATTCGTGTCCACTGGAAACTTTTTTGATAGGGTTGTGTCTGATTCTAGCAAACTGAAAGTGATATCAAGAATGAATGCAATTTTTCATGTTTATATGCTGCTATATGTGGCCTGTTGCATCAGTAATTCCTCGTTTTTACTGGTGTCCGAATGGCCCTGATTCAAACTGGGGATATTTCTATGTTATACGATATTATCGCTCAGTTGCCATATTTCGTGTAGTTTCTTCCAAAACTTATGAACTTTGTGATACCATCACTAAGCAGAACTCAAATATACATCGGCTGGTTTCGGTTTTATAAGGCAATATCAAATGTAGTTTTCGAGTGAACAGCAGTATTAACACTGGTTTCAAATGTGCCCGCTACATAATATCCGTTTCACAGAGTCATATAACCGTGTCATTTGCTACTCTGAATAAACAGAGCTCTGATTACTAACCCCAACAATGGGTGGTAATGGTGTTTCAAGGATTTCATCTATTGGGTTTACAAAGTCAGCTCTGACAACTCTATCAAATGTTACAAATGGAGTTTGTACTGGCTGTCAACTTGGAGAGAGAAAATTTTAATAAATTCTCTACAGGATATATATGTTATAATGCCTTCTACTTAGTTTTTCTGTATAAGGCTTAAATAGTTTGTGAGAATTGGCTTCATAGTGCAGAAATGATATCTATGAATTGATAGACTAAAATGAAACACTGAATAAGTTGAGTAATTTATTAATTTGGGACACATATACCTTGTTTTCTTACTAGGGACATTAACGATTGCAATAGAAATTATATTTAGGAAACGAGGACCAAGTACAATGTAGAATAAACTTATAAGTTTCCACATTGGTTAAATATTATCTAACTAGTTCGGGAAAACGAAAATAGGATTGTCTAAAGCAACTGTTCTAGTATACCGTCAGATAGAAACCTATTAGCACGACAAAGTAGGAACAAGACACTGCGGAATCAGCCTTGTTCAGGCTGATGGTATTTTGCAAGAATATTATACAATACACAAGGTGACAGGTGAACTAGATTTCGGACAGGTTATCCCAATATTTGCAGAGCTCACTGTATCTAGTACACCTACCTAACCGCCGACTACAGTGAAGATATACACGAAACAATAACAATTTTCGATGTGAATCATACATGAGGAAGAAAGTATTCGGCTAAATGTGAGAATAGGTTTTTGTCTTATATTCCGTAAAAAGAAAAAAAACCCAGATACTTTAGCGGAAATCCAATGCTGAAGTTTGAACAGAAAATAATATATAACTAACACGCGTTAATGGGGATAAGTCTAAAGCTCCAGGAAAATAAATTTGACGCTACATATAAAAGAAAAAGAAAAAATCACTTCCAAAAACAAACAAATACTGCTACTATTAATTGAAACAAAACAATACATTGAACTATTAGCAATAAAAAAAGAGGGAGACACTAAATAGAATATAGTATACACCACTATTGATTATTTATTTTTTGTTGACGGCCGGCCATATAGGCCTAAACATAAGTAACTTTTAAGTATATACAAGTGTATTTATCCTTTGAAGAGTTTCATCAAATACGTTAGGGTGTACATCAAGGTAAATTGATAAAAAAGCAGAGAGAAAAGGACGACAAAGTAACAGTGCTAAAATGAGGAAAGTGATTTGTCGTTGTATTTGATTTATGAAGACAATAAAACTAATAATATATATATATTCTTCAACTTGAAGATTTCAATAATAATAATAAAAGAATAAATTCTAGATTGTTATAGAAAAAAAACCAAAAAGATTTATATACGGATGTAAAAATTCTATTTGAGTCTGCAGCCATTTATACATTTCACCATGAACACACATAAATACTCGGTCTCCATTATTACAATAGAACTAAAGGCTAGCAAGACAGAAATATACTTCGACAGAGAGAAAACATCCAACCGGTAAGATTATTTTTTATACACAAATAAGGAAGCCTTATAAAAAAAGGCAACAAAAAACAAACAAAAAAAACTATTTGTCTTCACTTTGTAGCGTACATGCATTATTATACTCAATTACATAAGTGCACTTCACTTCTTTGCATAGATAGACGAACTTTCCTACAAAAAAATGAAGACAGAATTACGCAATGAAAGCAAAATGATTTCGTTTTTCTATACTGACTACTTTTAAAAAAAGGCACAACAAAAACAAATTTTAAATCATTAGGCTTATCAACACATAGAGTTTAGTCAGCACTTACTTATCACATGACGTGATACAGGTTACCACTGAGAGGTAGAACGATGTGTACAAATAAGTTTCATTAGTAATGACAATCCACAAAACTTACTGATAGTAGAAACAATGACAATGAAGAGTGATGTAGGTTATTAAGTTATATATATATATATATCATTCTTACGGACACTATCGCATAAGTGCATGTACCAGACACTACAATATTTACCTGTATCGATTTGAGAAAGATATTAGTAATTGTCAACAGAAACACTACATATTTTACTTCTTTACGTTCTCAGTGGAACACAGGACTTCAAGCTAGAGATTTGCAGTTTCGGTAGCTGTGGTGTTTATTTTTACCGGATGGGGTTGCTAACCTAATGCCCAAACTTCCCTCTTTACCAGTCTTATTACTGGCTTAGCTGGTGATCGAACCCTGAACCATATCCGTGGTTGACGACCATTCTACCGCCGCAGACGACGCTCTAAGCGTTATCCCCTAAAGCGCTTGGACCAAACAAACTGCTCCCCTATTTTTATATTTACTTGTAGTTAACAAGTAAATGCAATTGATAACGACTTAAACTCTGTAGACAGAAAAGTAAATGGACCTTCAACACGCTTAAATGCAGATGCTTGCTTTATGATCAATTTGCATTTATTTTCAATAAATTTAATTCAAGCCACTGTGACCCAATCAAAAGGCCCATAAACCTACCTTGTGACCGAAAAGTCATGGGTTAGAACCCCGGTGGGTGTATACTAATGAGGAGTTCTAAACCAAGACGAAACAACTACCCAGTACTCCCTGCTTTCCAATGGTTCCTTAACTAGCATAAATCCATGGTCAAACTTATATTTATTTGTAGTGTAACTAAGATCAGTAAGGTTGCTTAACATGTCTGTAACTTCAAGTACCTAAAAGATTGTATTGATTTGGGACCTTCAATAACAATTATTAACTTATGCTACCCACAAACCTGTTAAGTTTTTACATTTACAAAAATGTAGTGATTTTCAGTTAGTCACGATAAGTGTTAGACATTGCTGCCATTTTACTGTCAAATCGCATGAAGTCAGTGGGAAAGTTACCCCAACGCGAGGGTATGAAATTTTCTCAGAAATATACCATTCTAAAAACTGTGAATAGAAAAAAATGGTACCCTACGTATTCTCAGTATTTGCATGCGTACATATAAATGAACAAAGAATGTGGTAGATGAAATTCAACCAGAAAATAGCATGGATAGACAAATGGGTACATTTTCTAAAATGTTGGATTTGGTATTCAAGATCAGTTTGCCGAATAACTACCTCATAACACTTAATCTCATTCATCTTTAGTTCATTATATTTCTGTCCCTTTTAAAGAGCGACAAATTGAAATGATACACCTCTGTGTAATATTCTGTTGACTCTAACATTGGTCGGTTAGGATTTCGATGAGGATCGTAGATTTAACCACTAATCATTACTCCAAATAATCTAGTGAAAAATACCTTTCAATAAACTTATACCAATAAAGCAAACATATTTCATGAACCAACGAATCTATAAAAACAGAAGATCTATTTATCACTAATGTATAACAATAATGATGTTGGAAGACGGTATTGGCTGTCTGGAAACTCGTTAAAATCCAACCACTAAAGTACCATAACTATTTACCACAAAACACTGAACAGCCGGGAATACAAATGTGTCACTTGCAAATTCATAGAGGGGTACGTGGAAATAAAGTTCAGCTTACCAATAATAATATTAAAAAATTCATGAATCAGGTTCCCCTGAATTTGAAGATTTTGACAGGTCTGTACAAATATTAGAACGTCGGAGAACAGGAGTAACAAATGAATCTATTGACAGATGAATGAAAACGGTGATAAGAGTACGACAACAAGTATTGTAGAAAACAAAAAACAGATGATAAAAACTATTTCTTTCAATTTCAAACAAGGGATCTTCAGCTTGGTTAACACTTTTTAATTATTTATATGCCTGTAGATACATAAAATATTGATAATTATTACTGACAAACATAATTCCTTTCAATGAAAACATGATATACCTGCATGTGGACATATACATGTAAGCAGGAAGATAAAAATCCGTACTCATCTAAATGAACACACTGGAATTTATTTTACATAATTAAGCGAAACGTAGGAAATCTTCTTCATTAGTGAAATTTAGCGTATCAACTAATCATTTCAGAGTTCAGGATTCAATGCTCAGAGATGGCGAATTACGTAACCATGCATTTATTCAAATGACTTCTTGGAAAAATACAATAGGATAGATTATTGCCTACTTAATTATATATGTAATGTTCACTCAAATGCTACTAGTTCACACCAATGACGTATAATTAAACCTGCCTTCATTCCATACTATCATAAGTAAGTTGCTTGGAACAAGTCATGAGCCGCACTTATCATTTAGGTGCTGATGATACTATCCAGTTGTTTTGACTGAAGTAAGCAAAGCAGGATTCGAATCAGGGACCCACTGACTGCCAGTGAGACACATATCCACCCTATAGCAGTAGGGTGATTTATCTTCACTTTCTGAGTGAAGGAACAATGAGTAGTATATACTGGTAGATGAAACAGTGCATAAATTTACACATTCTCATACACTATATCACCTAATAATCAGAAATGATGACAAAACTAGAGAATTTACATAAATTTGCAAGCTGTACATCTCAATTTCACGGATAATACTGTTTATGCACGAACAGAAAACCCAGTGTCAATTGACTACGAACAACTGAATATATTTTAGTGTCAAACATGTTGATTTATTAGGAGTTACAGGAAACTTTAGACATGATATATCATCTCTGCTATAGACCTTTGAAAAAAATAAAGACTCAGAGGAGCTTTTGTATGACGAGAATGTTCTAAAGTAAGTCAACAAGGCCCATGCCCCCCCTCATTAAACAGTTTTGTCACATAAACACTAATACTGATGCGTTAGAAACGTAATAAACTAAGAGGGAAAATTCACTATGAGATTAGACAACTGAGTTTCACCTGGCAAAAAGAATAGAATACACATTAAAGACACAAGCCAAATAATTAATCGGTTATGTATTTTAAATATAATATTGTCACTTACTATCTGCTAGTCCTGGCAATTGATAGCCGATTGGCTTACGTGGAGGTGGAGATTGACTTGGAAGTAATTTTGAATCAGTAGAACTTTCAATCTGCGATTTTGAATGATGTAGAGAAGACTGATTTCTGTTCAGAGAGCAGTGAAACATAAATGAATTGGGTGGTAGAGGTCGAGGAGAATTAGAAGTAAAATTTGAAGACCTAGCCTCAGAAGAGTCATTGTTATTCGAATCTGAAAGAAGTAAGTAAACAAAAGTGTGGATAGGATTCAGGGCAAAAATATTCATAAAAGATAAACCGAAAAAAATGACAGAACCTTGAATAACTGAGTACTAGTCACGATTAATTCACATAAATCAAAAATAAGAAAAAGTACAAACGCGTGCATTTGATTGTTTTTATCGATGATAAAATGAGCTTTTTAATTTTACTAATGAATAGAGCGATTAAAGAATGTTTCACCAATGAATTTTATTTATCCAGAACTATTTTCGAGTATTTTATTTATATATACGCCAAACACTTTTATTTACACTGCAATTGAAAAATACTTATGTAGAAAATGGATCAAATTCAACCACCGAAAATATCTATTCATTCAGTCATGAAGAAAATAGCGGACAATTCAGAGAAGAAAATATTCTTTATTGATGAAATCATTTTCAGAGACTATTCCGTCGTACTTATATTTACCAAAAATGTGTAGTAGTCTATTACTGAGTAATAGGGGGTGACATAATTACTCAGAAGTGGCTTTGGGGTGTCAGGTGTAGGCATTTGTGTATGACAGAAGCGTTGGCGATTCGTCAATACACACCCCGTCAGGAAAAGTTTCTCCAGTCTCTTATTCTACCATGGTCTTAACCTCCCTATAAAAGAAATTTATTTTTTATTTTACTTTTAGTCTGCTTTTACTTTAATAATTAATTCACTATTATCACTGTCATATGTTCCTTTTGTACATTTTCTCTACCTATTCACACTTGTTAAATGGACACTACACTACCTTTCTTATCACTAAATAACAATTTTAACCTTAACAAATTTCTAACTCTTTCTTCCTTTGCGTCGTTAATTATTGCGTAATTTAAACTTTCATTTTTACTTCTAAAGCCATTTCTGAGTAATTATATCAATTATGTCATCCCCACCCCATTACTCAGTAATAGACTACTATACACTTTTGGTAAATATAAATACGACTGTATAGTCTCTGAAAATGATTTCGTCAATAAAGAGAATTTTCTTCGCTGAATTGTCACTTATTTTCTTCACGGATCAAATTACTCGAGTAACAGAACGACTATTTGGTTAATTTATAATCAAGACGGATAATTCAAACTACTTTAATCAAGGGATTTGAAGTGAACACTCTAGGATATTTACACGTCCAGTGAACAACTCACATATTCTTCACTATTTATTATACGTAAACACTTTATATCCAACCACCGAGAGATTGTGTCAATATAATTTCATATCTGTGCAAAATATCTAGAATTGATAAAGCATAAGATCATATTTTTCCATACTGAAACAAACTTCAGAAGTTTAAGCTACTCAATATAGTCTGTAGCATACTTTGGAAAAGAAATGACAACCGTCGTATTCATGAATCTGGGAAAATTACTAACAGACAACAAATGTATGTTGCTCAACGTATCTGGTAGGTTAACATATCAGTCATTTAGGAAAATGCGTAAACCTATAATTATGACCAACAGAATTCACCACTATCGACATATCTGGAAGCCTAACGACAGTTTTAGAGGAATAAAGTTCCCCTGTTTTACACAGTTTTTAAAGTACTGGTTTTGAAATTCAATTCAACTAACTATCGTCATCTAACCTACTTCTGTCACTAAATAGCAATACATGAATATATTCTATAATGATGAGGTAAACTAAACACAACCAATCTAACTAACAGAATAATTGCATAAAGTGAGGACAGTGATAATAAATCACGTGAACTTTTAGAAACTTAACTATCGCTATGTTGTGATAGTTTCAAACAAATCAGTCACCAAGTGGACATTATAAAGGTATGAAAATTATATTTTCAAAAATCACAGTTATATTTTCGTAGCAATCTTAAGTAGTATTAATCAACTTTTACTAGAATCACAAAACGGCATTTCTTAGAAGGCGATACATCGACATAACATTGTTAATCTATGCATAACGCATATATAAGAATGATAGAGAGAACAAAATCGTAAATGTTACAACACAAAGGATATCAATATTAACTAGAACACTAATCTATACTAACCCAAATAAGATGAGTAAAAGAAGCTATGTAATTGGCACAATCATCGTGTTTTCACTCTCCGTTGTCTGCAACAAAATGTATATCTTAAATCCGTAGCTGTCCAGTCAACTGACAACTCCAGTAGGTCGAATAAATCAGCTCAATTTTCAGAAAGAAGACAAAGTCATGAGTTTGACAGGGTGCTTCAGCTAAACTCTAATCCTAAACACCATAATTTTGAAAATACATCTAATCATAAAATTCCAGATACTAGGAGTCTGAGCAGACATGAAGGTGTGATGTTAGGTGATGCATAGGAAATCCTGATTAATAAATAAAAGTGGATATGTATCACTAATTAATAAAACTTGGTCAAAATTCCCGGCTGTCCATATCTTCTTATGGAGACGTTAAGAAATGTTTTACAACTGTTTTTCCGCACACACATATACACACTCTGTTTAAAGTGTTTAACAAAGGTAGATCAATATTTGTAAGTCCGAGGTCAAATTTTGATCACAACTAATACAAATTTGTTTATTATACTTGTTGATACTTGTTTTATGAATCAAAGTTTTTAAAAACAAGAAATGTTCCTTAATATATAAACCTCTGTTATGTTAATTTCGATTAATTTTCCTGAAGAAGTTCTGACCAGATTGCCGAACGAAATGTTGGAATTAACCATTTCAATTTTGCTGAGATTTTACAAATATAATTTTTTACAAAATTCAGAAAGGTCTGATGACATTTAAAAAAATGTATCATAAAGATAACACACAGAGACCTAATTGTTTTTTTTCAAAGGATAATGCAGTGTTCTGATTAACGCTCTTTAGTAACAGTCACATCACGGAAACACATATATCTGAAAAAAAAGAAACTTTCATTCTAAAGAATCATCTTTGTCTAACACAATTATGAGTTTTTATTATAACATCCGAATAAATTATTAAACATTTGCATAATCCACCCAAATGCGGTTTTTCATGATTAATTACCACATTAACATTTTCCCCTCATTTCATTGAGTCTTGAATAGAACATAGAGCTTCAAGCTTAAGCTATGTAGTTTCAGTAGCGGTGTTCTTTTTTTAAATCGGTGGAGTCGTTAGCTTCAAGCCCTTCCCTCTTTTTCTGACTAACTAACTGCAAAGTGATGTTTAGGAGTGCGCCGTTCAGGAATCGAACCCAGACTATGTTCGTAGCTGACTAGGATTTTCACGATTGGGCCATCATCAATGCACCACGTTTAAAAATAGTTACAACAAAATAACTGTTAGTTATTATGAACAGTAGTAGTTGAACTTACTGAATGGATCAAAGACTGATAAAACTTGGGAATGTGATCTAGGCAGAAAAGAGGAAATAAAAGAAAACGAATAATTGGTGCAGGTGCACGCTATCATCAGATGAGGTTATAAGTGTTAATTTAGTCATGTTTGAAACGTCTTAAAAAACTGCTGTGACAGTAAGAAAGATATTTCAGTTTAAAGTAACGAAGGTGATAATAATTTTCAACTTGATATGAAAGTTTGAATTACGAATATAGATTACAAAGGGCTTAAAGACAAGATTTTATAGGATTAGAAAATAGTTACAATGTATGCAAAAAAACTTCATATTTGATAACTGGAGAAATAATTTTAAGTCAAATAGAAGGTGATAATCATTTTCAACTTGATATGAATCACAAGAGGCTTAGAAACGCAGGGATAGAACGAATTACAGGTGTGAACAAAATGAGCATGGAAACAAATTGAAATCGAAATTTTCAACTTGAAACGTTAGTTAGGATTACAAGAGGCGTAGAAACAAAAAATTACACAGGATTAGAATATAATTGTAAAATTGTTATTCTAAACGGACTACAAGTGTGATCAGGAGGAGCATGGAAACAAAATTAAAATAGATAGTTTTATAACTGAAAATTTGAAATAATAATTTGAGCCTGAAATGAAAGTTAGGACGTGTGAATATAGATTACAAAAGCCTTAGAAACACAAAAATTGCACAGGATTAAGATATAATTGTAGAATAGTTATTAAAACAAATTATAAATGTGATCAGGAGGAGCATGGAAACAAACTTAAAATAACTGTTTTTATAACTGAAAAAAATTAGGTGAATTTAATGAAGATTGAGGGAATAAGGATCAGGCACACGGCGAACGAAAAATGCTCAAAAGGAAAAGGGAGAACGAAAAAAAACGAAGAAGAAAAGTTTGTTTCCATGTGCCTCCTGATCACACTTGTAATCCGTTTAGAATAACAATTCTTTACAATTATATTCTAATCCTGTGTAATATTTTGTTTCTACGCCTCTTGTAATCTATATTCACACCTCCTAACTAACGTTTCAAGTTGAAAATTTCGATTTCAATTTGTTTCCATGCTCATTTTGTTCACACCTGTAATTCGTTCTATCCCTGCGTTTCTAAGCCTCTTGTGATTCATATCAAGTTGAAAATGATTATCACCTTCTATTTGACTTAAAATTATTTCTCCAGTTATCAAATATTAAGTTTTTTTGCATACATTGTAACTATTTTCTAATCCTATAAAATCTTGTCTTTAAGCCCTTTGTAATCTATATTCGTAATCCAAACTTTCATATCAAGTTGAAAATTATTATCACCTTTGTTACTATGTGGAATTAAACAAATAATAATTTTAGTTGATATCCTATTATAGTGAAATATACAACTTTCGATTAGGAAAGTTGAAATCTTCACACTTTGAATAGCCTCATTTTACACAAACCACTTAAATACCGCCAGTCTTTATTTCATACACTAGTTTACCTTAATAGTGTTCTTGTAAATGTTACAATTCTTGCAGTCAATGAAATTAAGCATAATCATGCAACGCAAAGTTTGATTTCATGATCCACTAGCTCAGAGGTCTAATTTGTTTTTATCATTTAATCGTAAATACACTTCTGGATTTGAAATAAGCGGAAAACAACTTGAAATTTTCTAATTGTTATTGCTTTTTATTACAATAAATGACTTTAAATCTATAAAATAGCCATTTGAAAAGAAAAGATTAATCCGAATTCACTTCATTCAGATATATATATATATATATATATATATATATATATATATCAAGGTGTTTTAAGCAAATGTTAATCATTCAATAATTACTTATATAATAAAGTAACGAACGCGTACACTTATTTTATGTGCGTCAGTGGCACAGCGGTTAGGTTGCTCGCCGACCATGAACATGGTCCGGGGTTCGATCCCCGACCGACGCACTTGTTTACCTCGCTGAACCAGTAATAGGACTGGCGAAGAGGGAAGGTTGGGCATGAGGCTAGCAACCCCATACTGTAAAAATAAACTCCGCTACAGAAATTTCAAGCCACTAGCTTGAAGCCCTATGTTCCACTGGGAACGTGAAGGAAAAAAAACACTTATTTTATGACAAAAAGAGAAAATTATTGATAACAGAGAGATGAAAATGTGAATGACACTCCATCTCATTAACCTTGATATCTATATTAGAACTCAACTTCAAAGCTAACTGATCTGTTTTTGTTTATTCCAACTTTCTTAAGGTCAGATGCATAAGTTCTCTGAAATTCGATAGCGCAATTGAAGAATATGCGCATCTTCTTTCCCGATGTAATTTAAAAAAATAAATTTATATATAATATTCCTATAACATGAATATTTTTATGACTTTCATACTCTTATATTATTTGAATTACATGAGATAAGTCCAATTTTTTTTAGTTTAGCTGGATGACATGTTCATATAAACTTTGCAAATTCCGTACATAAGATAGTGAAAGGAAAAAGTAGCGAGGTCAGTAACCTCTTGCTGAGTTCATCAATCCAACTTCTCCTATAGAGTCAGCCACGTTTATTGGACTGTTACTATCGGAACTAAATTTTCTGTCCTACAGAACTCTAATTGGTAAGCATTAGAAATTCAATATTTACATACCTGGTTCAAACAGACTATGAGACAAGCATTTGTCGATCATCTTCACTTGTCTATTATGTACCTGACAAAGCGACGAAAGCTACCTGGCTCCTGAAGTGAATAAGTTTATTTTTTCTGTTTTGAATTTTCACTAGTGATGAGGTGATTGTTTACGGAGCGAAGTTGTTAGATTCACGCAAAACTTTAATTTACCAGTTGGTTAGTAGACTAAATAACGTACAAAATACTGCATATGGCCAAATCCACTAAAGCAAATCATCTGGTAATGTCAAAACAGTCCATACAACTCCAGCCAACACATCACTATACTAGCTTGTTGTAGAATTTCCAGACCCTTGAACACTCCTATTATATCATACCCATGATTTATTGAATTAAATTTATCTGATTCATTTAAACTTTTGTTCTTGCATTCGTATGGAATTATTTATTTTGCTTAAATCCAAAAGCACATTCACTTGCAGACAACCTTTCACTCTATTTCCTCTACTCATATTCACCATGTTGAAATTCATCGAAATGAAATTTTAAAATCAGATTGAATAAAATGCATTATAAATACTAATCAGGAGTACTTAGAAAAAAAGAGAATTATTTAGAAAAGTAATACTACTTACGATGAAGTTGTAGAGGCATCAGTTAATGGAGCCAGTGGTGAATTTACCTACAGATATAAAAAACAAAAAGAAGATAACTAATTCAGTTCACAGAAAAATCGGTTGGAATTAGCTAAGCAATTAAATTTTATACTTTTTCTTCTGTGCTTTGAAGTTTCAGTGGTGAAGCAGTTGATTTTCTCCACAGGGGGTGGAAATGTTGGCAGAATGTCCTATTTCCTCTCTTTTCTGGGCTATACCACCAGCAGGTAAACTTAATTATACAGTATCCATGCACATATTAAAGCTGACTTCTTTACGAGCTGATTCAACACTACTGCTTAACATACTAGCTAATAAATAAATCATCTTTTAACAAAGGACCTAGATGTTATACAATATATAGATGTTGAAATAAAATTAATAGCACAAGATTATCAACAAATTTTATATTCACGACAACTTATATCAGATGAATAAAAGTGAAGAGGCTTAAATTCGCGTGGCCCCACTACCAGAAGGATAAAATAAGCAGGAAACTTCTCCACATATATCTTGTTGTTAGAAAATCACAGACAGAAAAAAATTGGCCAACTAAATGCTTAATCACTCTGTCGAGGCATAAAGGAAACACATTTTTCGCCGTAAATTATAATCTTACATAGCAATTAATATATTATGTAACTGTGCATTCTTTTTTTCACCTTCACATCTTACTGAAATTAGAATTTAAAAAAAAATATATAATACATGTCATATTAACTTCCAAACTTAATAATGCAATCGAACAGAATTTCACGATGAGTGCAGAAAAAATGTGGTGTTACAAAGCTGAAATTAACTCATAATAATAAATTCATTATAGCTAGTAATTGTGTCTGTCACGGCGTATCGGTGAGGGAGCGATTGCAACCATTAGTACACCTAATAATCAATACAACTACTAAGGTTAAGAAAGTAAGTAATAGTAAATATACTAAATAAAATGCATAAAATTGAGTTAATGAAAATGAGAATAATGCAGAAAATATCCAGTCTGTTTGTTCAGTTCATTAGGCCATTTAAAAAACAGTTGTCAACAAGTTCGTGTATTTGAGTGGCTGTGTGAGTGCTAGCGGAGGGGTGACGGATGAGATTTCAAACTGTATCACAAAAGTTGGGGTGGCGTAAGTCAACTTGAGCCACCTCAGGCCCCGTTGTGACGTTAACCCGGATGTCATATGTCGGGCATACAATGCTTCGGTGCGTACTGTCTTCCTTTACGCCTGCGAAACCTGGCATCACCGTACTCAGAATGTGCAGTGCCTCTGCATATTCTATCGTCGCTGTCTCCGTAGAACTGCTTGCGTTTAATGGCATCATCGCGTGAGTAATTCTAGGGTCCGGAGGCGCTTGTTTGGACACAGTGGAGATCACCATTTATTGAGTGTCGTCATCTGGATACACAGTCTTCGGTAGCTTGAACATGTGCCACGAATGTCATATCAGAGGCTTCCGTACTGGTCTCTGTCTGGTATCAACATAGAACTTGGCACCGAAGTGCAGCAGTTCGAGTTGCCACGTTCCAAATAGCACACAAAGGTAGACAAGAAGATGAGTGAAAATAATCAATGGAGTTTGACAGGTATGAGAGCGAAACAGAATGGGTAATGGTAGAAAGAAATATGAAAGATTACAGAGACTGAATACATCTGCGCTAGGCATTGACAACGATTTTGAGCCATGTCACCTATTGTCTCCGGTCATTGATTCTTAGGGTCCCGGGGACCCCAACCCGGAGGTCTACATCTCCCTACCTGACTCAGTTTAACTGTCAAGGATTTCATGAATTGATGCCATGTTTTTGTTTGGCCACCACTTACTCTTTTCCAACCTGCACCTATGTCAGCTAGTAATGCCCGTCGGGGGAGGCGATGGTTAGGCATGCGCAGCACGTGACCTAGCCATCCCAATCTATGTAACTTTATAGACTCGTCGATTGATTTTCCCTCTTCGCCCAACACTCTACGCCTAACGTCAACATCACTTACCTCATTCAACCAACTAACATGAGAAGGAAATCGCAGACATCTATGATCGAAAGCAGTCAACCTTTTCATGTCTTCAACGCGTATTGGCCATGTTTCAGAGCCATAGAGAAGGACGGAGCGAACTGATGAGTAGTACACACGTCCCTTGGTTGATAGCCGGATGTCACGCCTACGCCAGAGGTGGTGTAAGTCAGCGAAAGCAGCTCGAGCTTTTTGGACCCTTGCTGAGATTTCGTCGCCAATCAGTCCGTTGGTGCTAATATAACTTCCCAAATAGGTGAAGTGGTCAACATGTTCTGTCACTTCACTCCCTATCACTAAGCTAGGAGTTGACGTAGTCCAGTCCTGTAGCAGTATCTTACATTTTGCAGGGGCGAATTGCATGCCAAACATACGAAGATTGCTGCTCAAGGTGTTCAGAAGACTCTGCATTTTGTCAGCATCCTCCCCTAACAGGACTATGTCATCTGCATATTCTAAGTCCATAAAGCTATTCCCCGGTAACAAGTCGATTCCTAAGTCATTACGTTCAGTTAAGGATACTTCCATCAGCATATCTATGATGAGGTTAAACAGAAATTGGGAGAGTGGACATCCCTGTCGGACACTACTGGTTGTTACCAATTAAGATGACAATTCCCCATAAGCCCTTACACGGCTACATGAGTTTGAATAGAGTGTCTTGATTAATGCAATGTACTTTCTTGGCACTCGCTTCACAGTCAGACATTGCCATAGTACCTTTCGATCCACGGAGTCAAAGGCCGCCTTCAAGTCAAGAAATATGGCAATTGTTGGACGCCGAAAAGTGTGTCTATGTTCTAGAATCTGTCGAAGAGTGAATATATGATCTATGCACCCTCTACCTGGTCTAAAGCCTCCTTGATTTTCCCTCGTCTGTTCCTCCCGAGTTCTGCTTAGTCTGTGCATGATTACTGAGCCTAGGATTTTAGAGACTATGTTCGTTAGGGTGATCCCTCTATGATTATCACACGAAGACTTGTTTCCCTTCTTGAATATCGGCATAATAAGTGACTTACCCCAGTCTGATGGCACTGTCTCTGATTCCCAGACTTACAATAACAATAACAATTTCGCTTTATTCTAGAAACAGTACTTGTGGTACAGTGTGGAATTTTCAGCACATATCTACAATATTGCATCTAATTTCATCGTACATTTAAAAGGAGTATTATAAAAAAAATATTTAAAAAAACAAAAAAAACAATAACAACAAAAAACCAAAAAAGAAACACAGAAATAACAAAAAAATGCAATAAAAATACCAAGTAAAAAGGAAGATAAACACAAATAATGAAAAAATATTTCAGTATTGATTAGTGGAAGCTACGATATGAGTATGCGTGGTGAACAGTAACAGCTATAATCATACGGGAAATTATGAGATGTTGCCTAGTACCACAGTTAATTTAAAAACTAGTATGTCACCCCCATATTTAAACACCTCCGGAATAATTCCGTCGGGTCCTGCCGCTTTGCCTCGTTTCAAATTACTGATAGCTTTTGTGACCTCACTTACAGACGGCGGACCAGTGTCTATATCCCATTCGGGTGTGTGTGGATGTCGGGGAGGTTCAGTGTGGCTGTAGGCAAGTTAAATTGTCCTCAAAGTGTTCTTTCCAGCGTTCAAGGCGTCTATCCTGAGAGCTAATTAAGGAGCCATTTTTCTCAGAAATAGTCTCACTTATGATTTGCCTTCTCCCCCCGTTTCTGATGAGTCTAAAGAGTTGCCTAGTGTTGCCTATCGCCGATGCTTTTTCCATCTCTTTCGCCTTTGTCACCCACCACTGTTCACGGTCCTTGCGGAGACTTTTAGTAAGTTTCCTTTTGTGCAGCTTTCGCTCCTCATTGAATTCGGAGCTCGCCGGAATAAGTCTTCTAGCATCTATCAGTTCGGATGAGGCAGTCGAAATCCAGTGGTTTTTACTCACCTTTGGATTTGCCTTATTCACAGCTTTTACAGCTGTATCTATGGCTGACTGAATATTCTTCCAGGCTTCTCCAGGGTGAGCACAGCTGTCGAACTCAGATATGCGTTTAGCTAGTTCTTCCTCAAATAGGGATTTAGTTTCCTGATCGAGCTGGGGACGTGATGGTTTTACCGCCAGCTGTTTCCTACGTCCGTTCAGTCGTAAGCACACACGAGCCCGGACCAGTGCGTGATCGGTATCTACACACGTGTTCCAGAAGGAGCGACAATCTCCTACCGACCCACGCCAACGATAGCTTATTGCTATGTGGTCTATTTGTGTCCAGCGTTGGTTTGATGATGGGGGTCGCCAGGTTAAACAGTGTCTCTCCTTGTGTTTAAAGTTAGTGCTTACAAGAAACAAATGATTATCTGAACAGAACTGTAGGAGACGGTCACCGTTGTCGGTTCGCTGGCACGGAACTCCATAGGTGCCACCGACATCCTTCTCAGATTGACACAATTTCCCTACTTGAGCATTAAAGTCACCAGCTAGAACGACTATATCTGAGCGTTTAGCCTTTCTCACCAAACTAGACAGCTTTTGGTAGAACTCATCCTTCGTTTCATCCGAACTGCAGTCAGTGGGGGCGTAGGCGGAGATTACGAAAAGGCATCGGCGAGTAGTGCAGTCCTTTCTCCTTCTTACTGATCCGTTCAGACGGACAGCACACATTCGGCTATCTACCGGGATCCAGTCAAGCAATGTCTTTTCTGCCCTAGTACTCAGAGCTATCCCTACGCCAGCTAATCCTCGTGAACTAGCTGTGGCATCTCCTGACACCCTCAAGGTGAATTTTGAAGATTCATCCTGTTGGCCAGGTGGGGTTAGGTGAATAACCACACTTGGGTCTTGTATGCGTGTTTCTGAAACACAACATACATCAATGGCTCGAGATGCCAGGGTCTTAGCTAGTGATGCTTGTTGTCCTATTTGGCAAAGTGTCCTAACATTAAATGCTCCTATATGAAATTGGTGGCGTGGCTTTAGGAGACTATCCGTGGTGGTTTTTTGGCTTTCGTCGTTTTTAGTGGACACAGAGTGAAGAGGGAGTGAGGAGCCATCAAGTAGAGGAGTTGCATCACTGGGGGGAAGGCAAGGTAATAGAGATGAAGATGAAGACAAAGATAAGTGAGGATTAGAGAGGTTTTGTGTGCATTTCGGATTGTGAGGGCGTTTGTTACTTCCCGGCTGCCCACACCGTGGAAGTTGGTTGCGTGACCGCAGAGCCCAGGGGACAACTGCTTGAGGCCGGTCACACGCGGCCTGTTTTTGTTCGTTTTTTTTTGTTTGGTGTGCCTCAGTAGCATACTTATCACTCCTGCCCTGTGACACGGCAGCAGGAAGCGCGGTCGTTGTTAATCCGGGCCACGGCCGATCCGGCATGAAATTTTGTGAATTTGTTTGAATCATGGTATTGGATGGGGTAGCTGCTTTTTGTTTAACCGCTATCCAAACAACCTGCCTGGCATGGTAGAACCTCAAGAGACATAAGTCTCAGCCAGTATAGCTTGATTAGGTCATTGCGGTGTTCAAGCCCGACCACCACGTCAAGGTAGCAGCTTTCGGTCGGGTCTCTGTTCGCTAGCCCCGGGACGGGATGGAAAAAGCGAAGAGGCGGCCAGCTTATGACGGGGCGTCGTGGGATAAGAGATATTTGTTTTTAGGTTAGCGTTGAATGGTATGCAACGACTCCCTGGTTGTAGTCCAACAGAAGGTTGCAGTTTGTTTCTTTCTTCCCTTTCTGTCAATAATTCGACGAATGCTGACTGGTCTTGTGAAAAATAAGTTCTTCCTTCGCAGATGAAATCCTGTATTCCTTCTCTTTTTTCTCATTTTGTTTTATTATTACTGTGTGGAGCATCTTCTTGGTGCCATATGGTACCAGGTTTTGTGTTTTAGATAATAAACTTTCGAAAGGAAACTAATGCTTCCTTAACTAATTACTCAATTGCCTAGGTTGAATATTTGATATCCGAATAGAATTATTACGACTGACTGCTGATTTGAGGTACGCTCAGAAATACACACTGAGTGAATTGAATTCAAGTGACCACAGGAAACAATGGTCACATTCGTAGTGACATGGCTTAGACGCAATCCTAAATTTGTCATAATTTTGACCACAAAAACTTGTTTGCTTAGCTGTTTCCAAAATAGTCCGACAGAGTTTCGTACTTTTTGATGGTGTAATCTTCATTTCTTCGCTTTTACTTTTTTGTGGTAACAATGCAGTGGTGCAAGGCACTATTTTGCCAATTTTTTAACCTTTCACCTACTAGAAGGCTAGCGAAGGTTTGTCGTCAAATAAATTGACAATTCTGAAAAATTACAATTTGGCTTAACTATCTCAGTTAATCTCATTTGACAAAATCACTAATTGTATTATACAACCAAGTACAACAACTAGCGCTTGTCAGCGACTCGTTTGAACATATTAGAACTGGCTTTTTACACCGACAGTGGTCGTAGGTCAATCCCTTAATAATACATTTTAACGGGCCTCAAAGTTTAGAAGGACACTCGGCTCTCATTTAAACGACAACAGGCATTTTATAACAAAACAATGCAATATTAAGTTTTAACGATCAGCGATGAATGAATGCAAAACGTTAAACAACACCTAAATGAGAATAGAATATTCCTCAACAAACACTTGTATTTCCATTCAGTTGACATGGTATCACGCATGTGACATGAGGACTGGCGATACTACGTGGTTATAGAATCTTCAGAGTTAAGTTCAAACCTGTGATCTAGTGGTTAAAAAGAGAATATCTAAACGAATTATCACAACTCCCACTAAAATAGCTGCAGAAGTTGGCTAGGATTAGGATTATTTATTTATGTTACTAAATGTCAAGAATTAAAGGTTTGCTACTGACAAGATTTATCAGTAGTATACAAAGATACGTTAATCAACGTAGAAATATCAAACAGCGGAGAGATAGATTCAATATTAGAAAAAGCAAATGAAACAGCGTTGCGGAGATACATGGGGGATGTGGTAGGAATACAAAGAAACACAATATGAAGGACAGAAGTACATAAATTAAAAACACCAAAAAATTTATTGGGAATTTAAAAAATAGTTAAAAATTTTTTTTTTTTAAAAAAAAAAAATTTTAAAATATTTTAAAAAAAAAAAAAAATTAAAATAAAAAAAAAAAAAACAAAAAAAAAAAAAAAAAAATTTTTCACTAAAGTATTTTTTTTTATATCCTTGTTGGAATTACTTTTTTCTTCTAAACGAAAATAATTGTTCTGGGGTGAGGTGGAGGAAGTTAAAAAGCGGCCCCCCGAAGAAAGGGAAAAAAAAAGGGATAGGGCCGCAGAAAGACAATGCATTTCTTTTATTTTTCTTTCCTCATACTTTCCTTTTTTGTGTTGCGCGTAAAAAAATTATTTAAGAAAAAAAAAAATGAGGGAAAATTAAATTAGAGAGAGAATAAAAGAAAATAAACTATATATATATATATAATAAGCATGAGTGTACTTAGAGGTTTAAGAAAAGATAAAACAAATATAAGACGAATGATAGCGTGTAGGCAAATACATAAAACAGATATTAATACCGGGTGTTATTTTCTAAGTACACCATATATATATATATATATATAATATATATGATGATATCACAGTTATTCTGAGATATGACTACAAATCAAAATGACCTACAGAAAGGCAAGGTGAGTGAGTGCTAAAATAAAATGAAGTGATGAATGGGCTATGAAATAAAGCAGCATGTGATATGTGGTGTCACTTACGCGTAAAAATACTGAAGTCTAAAGAAATACACACATGGAGTAAATAATCTTAATTATCTTACTTTATATAAGACAAATGAGAAAAAAAATTAAGAACGTCAACTTAGAGCCATTGACAAGATAGATAAAGGTTGGGCAGTCTAGTGGATTTAAATTTAACAAAAAAACTTACAACAATTCTTGTAGGAGGACGTCGACCAGCTAAACCACCAGAATTGACAAGTCTAGTTCGATCTTGAGCTTGTTTCACAAAAAATGGTAATTCTATAGTAGTTGAATAATGATTCTGTACATCATGTACAGTACTGTGAAAATCATTTCTATCTTCCATTTTATTCTGATGATAAGAGAAACACCTATAAGGTGGTATATTATCATTTAAATGAGTTGTATATGAAATGTTGACATCACTATCAGTTAGATCTTCTAATCGATCACATTTGGTCAAGTCAGCATCTGTGAATTTAACACATATAAAAAATGAATAATAGAAATGAACTTAATCACTTGAATTAAATATAAACGCCAACTCTGACAGAGAATATGATCAAATGAATTCCTTTCACATAGCAAATAATTAATAGCAAATAAATAAATGAAAGTACATTCAAATTAATAAATCATTCTAATAGTATGCAACATAAAGAATTGAGTTCATTAAGAATTCCTTTCATGCAAATGATTATAATAATGGAAGGGAAAATGTTTTCATTCTATATCATATTCTTGAATTATTATTGTTATTAATAAGTAATGCAGAAATGAAACGGTAAATACTGTGAAACACCCAGTAATTACATCAACGTGAATATATACGTATATTTAGACAGTTTTTGAACAACATACCTGTAAGAAATGTTACAATTCATTCACACAAATGAGAAATGATAAGAATAAAGACTTTGAGAGACAAAAGGAGAAAGAATAACTTGTAATGAAAATTCCTCTTATGTATACATCCACGTACATCTACACACACGACAAGCACACAATGAATCAGTCTGGGAAATAGAAGCACTAATCAACATTATTGTTAAGGCTTTTTTACAGCACAATACATGTATCCGATTAACAAGTTACAATGCAACATTCCAACTGTAAAAATTAGACATATAAGAACAAAATCATACTGTCAACAAATAATAATACGTTGATCTTGGCATCTCAATGGGTATGATAACTAACGCTATCAAGCAGTGCTAATAAATGTAATAAATTAAGATAATTAAAATGAATTGAAAAGTGAAATTTATCTTGTCAATCCAATGATATAATACATGTAGTCATCATTGATGCAAACCAGTTTTATTTAAAGAATAGTACAATTATTATTGAATGTTATCAATATTGATTAACATTACTTCAGTATGCAGATGCCTTGTTTAGCCGAATTCGTTCTCCACTGATTGAAGGTACGAATTCTTGCCGTGGTTTTATCGTTTGTATTGTAAACAGAAGCAAGACGACCAGAAGTATTAATTTTACACTGTCATTTATTTATAGACTCTATAGCCACCAATGATGTTTTGTAGCCACGATCCATGTTGTATATAATCACCTGTTATAAGTATAACACTACTGACATTAATTGATTTGCTAAGCAGATGGTTTAATTGTCTACATATCCATGAAGCTTTTATTCAGACTGAAGCTGGCTTGAGTGCTATGTGTAGTATCTTGAACGCCGACTCGCTATATCCTGGCAACTGCGAGAGTTTCTCAAGTTGTATATTCTGAACAAGCGTTATCTGTTTTGATTCATTTAAGGAAATTGATTGGTTCGATGAAAGAGTATCACACTAACTAGTACAGTTACATCAAACTTTATAAAACGTATCAATTGGTTGATTAAATCTTGAATGATTACCCTCTTAGTGTAAACCACTATAACTGTGAATAACATACAGCTAAACTGAATCGCATTGTCTAGGTAAATTCATGATTGCAAGACAAAATTACTCAATAAGGTATTTCCTAAACAGCAGATGCTCTTCAAAACCATTCATGTTGACATCTACTTTTGTTTCGAAGTTATTTTCACAGACAATCAAACAAATTCATGTGACCTGGAGAAGTAATTTTACGTCGGAATTTTACGAAACACCAACAAGCAATGTGTGCAGAGTAGTCGAAATAATATTGTCAGTCATGCAGTTTGTCATATAAAACAATAAACTAAAAACAGTTTTCTAAAATACATATAGCCAACTTGACAAACATTTATTGATCGACACTTCATGCATTAATTTTCACACACTGAATACATAACTACTGGTATTCCAAAATAGAGACCTGTCCTCTAAATTCCACTTACGCGCTTAACCTAACGCTGTACAACCCCTAATTCTTCTCCGGTTGTTTTTGTAATAGGATTATTGACAATAATATGAGGTTTGTTAACATCTCTATAAGATTCAACTATAAATTTTCTTCGACCTGTAGATTCAGTTTAGCCACAACCTACGAACAACAGTTGACTGCATACATGAATGAAAGCCAGGAAAACATTATCTCCCTTTATATTGCATTCTGTGTAAAATCTTTCTTGAAAGAATCACTAGTTATGATATATATATCATTGACTAAAATAGTTCATTTCATTATGAAGTGATATCATCGATAGCACTGGTTGCCGTTATATCGTGAATTGATAAAAGTTAAAATTCCAAAGTATAGAATTTCAACCCTGTAGGCAGTTGAATAGTTAACGGACTTGCCAAGTATTGTGAAGGTCTTGAATTCGATCCCCTGCAGGGTTGTTAGAGCTCACTACTATAGAGTCTTAAACTATGACAACAACATAGCCGCCAAGAAAATGTCATAGCAGTAAATAAGCTGGACGCCGTTTAATTCGCTGCAAAACCTCTATCATCACCCTGTATTGTACTACACCGTAACCATTTACTATATACAGCCACGAAATCCATCACAAAAACACTAGTTTTCCCCCAATAACACTTATACACAGGAGAGTAAGAATGTATTTAAAAAAACTTTAATTGCAATAAATTTTTATTGTTATTTTTTGTTAACAAAAAGGCACATCAATGAATAATAATAATAATAATAGTAATAATAATAATAGAAGTTATCAATAACTACAGTAATAAGCAAAAGATGATGAGAGAAAGTTTTAGAGAAGAGACAACACTACTAGCACTACTGCTCTACCACTACACTACATACATACACACACACATTAAAATGTTGAGCAATAACACTAGACATGACAGAAGAGAAAGAATCAGCATCGTATCATATTCAGAAGAAGATGAAAAAGAATACAGGTGAATATATTCCATAAAAACTGATCACTAAATACTGGATTTACCATTTTACACTGTCCATGAAAACACAAAACAATCATCAATTAAACATGCCATTGTACGGGAATAACAACCTGTAAATTTTTGTTAGTAGTATTACATTACCTTCAAACGATGTTTGTCTGAACGTACTCTATGCATGTATACGTATGTGTGTGTGCACGCGTACGTACATAGGGCGTCTAATGAAATTATGGTTTATGATTAACTTCGTTTCAATGTATAAAGATTTGTGCAGTAAGTAAGAAGGCATTGTCAGACACTACTTTTATGCATGCATGTAAATGCAAACAGTGCGTGTAGAAAGATTGTAATATGTACATAAAGAATTTTACAGACACGGTGATCAAAATTACAAATTATCCATAACAATGAATGATTCTAGTTCTCCTTTTTTAAAAATTATTTCCGTAGTCGTTTACCGCATTGTTTCAGAGTTCAGTATGTCACCTCTAAAAATAGTACGATGTTCATAAATTATTACGATTATTATAATCATTATGCATATATAATTTATATAGAGTTCGTCTAAATCATTCAAATAATGTTTACTCAAAACTATTAATAATAACGGCAAACAGACGTGTTACTGTGTTTAGGAGCACTCACACACAAAGATACACACTGATGCATTATTAGTTAAAACATCACAACCTTTGTAAACTAACTTCCTATTTGCGGGTAAAGGTGAAAAAAGACACTAAGTATCAATTTAACTCACACTTAGCACGTTCAAAACAAAGTATTCAGCAAAGACAATGGATTTCTATCTTTTACGAGTTGATCTTGGATTGATACCAGTTAGAGAACCACTGAAAACCACGGAGTACTGGATAGCTGTTTCATTCTAGTTTGGGAATCATCGGCAGTAGGCACCCACTGGAGTTCGAACTCAAGACCTCCGGGTTACAAGGCAAGTTCATATACCATTGAGCCACTGGGCCCCGATTCAATGACTCATGAATTCTAACTTCTACCAATACGTGATTTAGCGCGAATGGTATACGAGCTTGCCTTGTAACCGGAAGGTCCTGGGTTCGAACCCCAGTAGGTGCGTACTGCCAATGATTCCCAAACTAGGATGAAACAGCTGTCTAGTACTGCTTGGTTTTCAATAATTCTCTGACTAATATCGATCCGTAAACACAAAACTAATCCTTACAAACTAACTATAGAAAAAGAATCTCTCTCTGCCGTCTGTATTTCCACAGAATAATTTGGTCGTTCAGACTTACAAGGTGGTAAAAATTATAATCGACTAATAGGACAAAGATCAAATTATTTTTGTCATTTGTGCGTCGGTGGTTCAATGGTAGAACATTCGCTAACCATGCAGGTGGTCCAGGTTTGATTACCAGCGAATGAACCCGTAAACCTCGCTAAGCCAATAGTAAACTTGGTGTGAATAGGGAAGGTTGAGAATGAGGCTAGCAAGTCCACTCCGTAAAGGAACACCGCTATTGAAACTTGAAGCTGCAGGTTGCACTTGGAACGTAAGAGTGCAAAATATGACAAAGGATTAAATAAACAGACTGCAAACACAATGCTTCACTGAATACCTTATTACTACTGTCTGCATATATATATATATATATATATATATATGCAGATATGCTATACGACTACTCCGCCTGTTCATCAATTGTTTTTTTTGTCCCCCAAAGTTGAAGCTTTTGTACGCTGGTATGCTTCAGTTTCTTATTGATAAGAAATAGCTTTCAAATAAATGACGACTACCGGGAATAATATACGCACACACACGAACACATATACACACTTTGCATATACAACAACATGATAGATATATGCATACAAACAAACAGCGTTGATCAATACGTAGTGTTATTTTCGCACAATGCACAATGGGAAATAAAAATGGCATTATTCATAAAAGCAGATATGCTTTTTCTAGATGGTCGAATAATCAGTCTCGGAATATAAATTGGAAACTATTTATTACAATGGATAAACACTGAATTGCTGGTTATCGATTATATGAATTGTGATCAAGATTTCACTGAATAGTTCCAAAATAGTTGGGAGCTGAGTGAGAATAAGACACGTGTCAAAATTATATTTATATACACAAATATAATTTCTACATATACTATTACTTATTATCTTGCTAAAACAAATGGCACTGAATAGTTTAACAAAAAGCTGAAATAAGCAAGGTTGAATGATAAAAAAGGTGGTAAGGTGCAACTGTATGCCAGAAAATATGTTTCTACCTGATGGTTGAATCATAAAGTTAGATAATACGATACGTGTAAGTGCGAATATTTACACAGATTCCAATAAGGCTCAGAAAATATGTTCACCTGTTTATATTAGATGTTTGGAGGCAACTGACAGGAAGTCTTGGACCTAGGTTTTGTGCTAGTTGGCACTCTTCAGTAAGGCGTATCTACAACCTTGAAGAAACTCATATCCCTTCTGAGATTCAAACTCGCGTCACCTAGTAATGCAGTCAGAGATGTTTCCACTGAGCTTTTCGGGCTCGCCATTGACCTCTTGTAGGACTGTATTGGATATTTCTGATTGGACACTCGTTAGTAACTAGTGTAATGTGTCTAGTCCTTTGTTTGGTGCAGATTGAATTCCATCAATCACATTGCCAATATGGCCATCATCCTAGGTCGCTCACCTCCAACCATCTAATATCAACTACTCAAGGTGCACCGTGATGGCGAGCCATCTAGAATAGTGGCCACGTTGCTAACGTGAGTGACAGAATTCAGTCTGCGCCAAACAAAGGACTAGACACATTACACTAGTTACTAGCTAGTTTCCAATCGGAAGTTTCAGTTGTTTGTTATAGACGGAATACTAGTAAAGGATTTAACTGAGATATAAGTCTTGAGTAACAGAATATAACAAAGTCGGATTTTTAAAAAGACTAATAATAATTATTGTTATCATCATACTATGATTGGGTAGGAAGTATCAATATTGTGATAGTAATACAGTCGGGTTGGATCATCTATTTATCACATAGAATACCAGCATTATTCTTACAATGAGTCAAAACGAAAAATAAGAATTTTAAGCTATTCATAGCATAAATATGTGTCTATCTTCAGACAAGGATACGGGTAACACAGAAGAAACAAAATTTCTTTTTCTCTTTTTTTCTCTCGTAAGAAAGCCTACTTTAGCTTTCGACAATCCATAAAATGCATGATTTAGGTGATGCACGGTTAGTGTCCAGAAATTGGTGGGTGATAAGTCAGAAATAAATAAACAAACACAGACAAACACGGCAACGACACTACGCTTAAAGTTAGATGACAAATGCTGCTGACCTTTACAATTACAGACATATAAACAAATATGTCTCCAATTCACAGCTATTGCTAAGTGGACAATGATACATTTATTTTTCTACATTACTAACTAGATCAGATTTAATTTTTCATCAAATCGATGAATATTTTAAACCATTCATATTGAAACGAGACTATGGTGACTTATTCTTACACTTGTGGAATTTAGGGAGTGAGTCACTTGTACTAAAGATGAAATGCAATTAAAAAAAATTATTGATGCAGTAAGCTTGGTATACAATTGGTCATGACAATATCATAGGTATGTTGTGATGATACACCGCCACTGTATTAAGATGTACTTAGTTTCCAAGGTATAGACAAAGTTATGCATCATATCACCACTTACTGAATGCAGCTCGTTGACAGAATGACTTCAATATAAGAATAATATGGATGAACAGTACATTTCGTTAATAAATTTAGCAACAGTTGATACACAGTGCAATTTGATAATGATACTGGTTTAGATTAAAGAGTTAAAATACAAGAGTGATAAGCAATATTTGGGTTTTAATTTTTCCTCTTTCTAATTCTGAATTAGGGTATGATGAGGCTTTTAACAGACCACGAAAAGAAATTTTTCCAGACAATACATAGATATATACAAAACATTTCCAAAACGGGAGTTATTAGAAGACAGCTAGAAAGTAGGCTTTCTATTTTCTTTGCAAAATAAACAAATAAGCTATTGTAACCTACACATTCAGTTAGAGAGGTCGTTAGAAATGGAAAAACAATGACAGCAGGAATTTCCGTCTGTAATAGCGCTACTACTATGTAACATTACAAATATATGAACATCATCAGTTTAAGTAACTCTAAATGAACATATAGTGTAACTGGAAGAAAGTCACATATTATAGTAGTTATATCGATGAAAATACGACGTAGTGTTATTTTGGGGAAACTTACCAATATTTTCGCATATCTCTTCTCCGTTATCTTCTTTATACGATGACGCATTGAACGATGACTGAATTTGTATATGAGAGGAGAGAAAGAGAAAACAAAACGAAGATAACAAAAGATGGCAAAGTGTGTACTGAAGAAATTGACAGATATTGGAACAACAAAGTGGCACTTTGCTTCCAATCTGGAAATGTGGCTGTTATAAATCTATTTAACTCATAATTAACACTGACTGATGAAATGATGGAAAAAAATATTGTTATGTTTATCAGAATACCTAAAGAAACAACTAATTACTCCGACATGCAATGGAGGATATAGAAATGAAAAGATAGATTTAAGACAATGCAGTACAAATAAAGTCTTATACCTCCCTAGTAAACAATTAAACTATAACGCTACTTGCTTCAGTGATCATTCTGACATGTCATGAGTACAAATATGATGTGTATTCACAAAATGAAATTAAATTACACTAACAAATTTTTTGATGAATTGAATAATCTCCAAATGGTTAGCGCTATCCATACTGCAGAGGAATAACTAAGACCGGGTAGAAAGATTCTTAAAAAAGGACAATATCGAACCATCAAATAATACCAACTAATATGTCAACAATCTCGAAGATGAATATTTTTGCATGCTTTAGTTCTGTTAAAAGGACTTAACAACATAACGTTTGGATTCATTTATTCTTCTATATTTGAAAATGATACTCAAGGATTGATCTTTTTTTCTTAATTATAATGTTTACTAATTTTAAATAGCAAATAGCAAGACACGAAGTAGTATTGCTATCTTACTATGTCGATTCAAGAAGTCACACATTTCAAGAAGGACATAAATTCCAAAACCAGTTTACTATGGTTACGATTGCATTGCAGGTAAATAATACTGTAAAAAGGCAGCTAGGTCATTTACATATCAGTTTTGAAACGTAATTGTATACTAACCATGCACGAAATGAGTACAAGGAGTAGCAAGAGTGTCTAGTCAATGTTTTCATTGAGCCGAATTGCAAACTGTGCCTAGTATATAATTGAAATAACACATAATTCTCCAATACAGCGAGAGTACGTGGAATTATGCCATTTTGTATAGGTGCAGCGAAGCTAAGTGAGAATATTAGTCTGTCTGTCTGTTTTCGACATAGAACTTTACACATACGTGCGGCAGTTCAAGTCGCCACACTCCATGTAGCACACAAAGCAAGGGAACAAAGTAAAAGAAATGCAAAATAGAGACAGTAAACAGAGGTATGAGACAAAGGAATAGTATTTTTTTAAATTTTATTTTTGATTTACAGCTTGATTCAACACCGTATTTTTGGTACAAGTATGGAATTTTCAGCATGGATATCGGTAGCCCAAATTTTGCAGGCCGACCATAGATATCAGGTGTGCGCCGGCGTGGGCTCGAGCCCCGGACCATGTGCATGGTCGGCGAGAGTCCTAAACACTGTGCCACCGACGCGACGAAGATCAAAACAGTTTCACTGGAAATCATAAATGACAAGGAGTGGATGCATCTGCGCCCTTGAGAACGATTGTGAGCCATATCACCAATTGTTTCCAACCATTCGTTTTTACCGTCCCGAGGACCTCAACCAGGAAGTCTACACCTTCCTACGTGGCTTAGACTAGCTGTTGTACATTTCCTTGACTGGTGCCATGTTTTGGTTTGACCGCCGCTAGCTCTTTTCTAACCTCACCCTATATCAGCTTACATTGCCAATGGATGACTAGACATACGTAACACATGTCCTAACCATCTCAGCCCATGTAACTTCACAGCCTCGTCGATTGATTTCCCCTGCTTACCTAGCACTTGACGCGTAGCCTCAATATTGCTCACCGTATTATACCACTTCACACGAGAGATAGAGCGCAGACAACATTGTGAGTGGCATCCACTTATCAACTTAGCTTAGCCTCTTGGATTAATATAGCAGGAAAGCTTATTCGCTTGATACAACTAGCAAAAGCGAATGTTACCACGAACGGCTTTTGTAGTACAGAGTTAAATGCCCCATTGAAGGCAAGGGATGTGACAAGTGTCAGATACTGACAACAGGCATACACGCAGTTCAAAACCTGAACAAACGTTTACAAAGCATGTCAGTAGCACACTTTCTCCTGACAAATTGCAATACCAATAATTATTAGTTAAACACAAAAGAAAGAGGAAGTTACAAAACCCTGAGAAGTCGATGTAATAGATGATGCATTTAAAACCATGGAGAAGAAAATCTTTTACCGTGTAAATTACAGAAAATCGACTAGGAGTTTTTAAATTATGAATACGCTTTATCATAAGTACTCTCTTCCACAAATGGCTGTAAACAAAATCACAAAATCAATACTTCCAGGTTGGTAGAATACATCAATGAAATGAAGGTGTGTGTTGTATTGAGGACTACGAATAACAGTTGACGGATAACTCTTTTTTTCATTTTATTCAACCACTACGGAAAGATTATAAGGTGTTTCTTTGTTCAGTTTTCTCCTATCTTGATATGTATCCACATATATATATATATATGTATGATGATCTCTCTTTCTGTTGCTCGCTTAGTCTGTGACCATTTCATTTTGATGAACCTGTCTCCTTTAACAATGTATATTCCCCTTATATTATATACAATATGAGTGTTTGTTGACAGTCCGTTGCTTGGTGACAGATATCCATATTATATGTGTGGTTGTTGACATGTCTGCTATATTTTGCTATGTATATATGGATCGATACTTCATTATAATTAGCCATTCATGTTAAGACTGTCTATTGATTGTTCACACCCTTGTCTGGACATTCATATATATTTCGCTCTCACAATTTGTGTGACTTATTACTTTGGTGTGATACCACTTTTGCATTCTCCTTGTGTTTGGAAAATAGAAGTATCATCGCAAACCTAGTGGTCTTCTGATTTCCGTCTTTCTTGCGTCAGGACTATTAAATTCTCGACCAGTACATAGCAATAATTTAGCGACGAGTACATAACATATCTTCCCTCAAGAAGGATTGTATTCATCTAATAGCACCAGAGGTATAAACTAAGATCACTACTCAGCATTAAGAGAAAGTGGTTCACATATTCATTGTTGTATATCAAAAACGAGTGCACGCTACACAGGGAACTAAATTAGGTAGACGCTTTACATCCTTACAAAGTATCAACTTTAAGCTCTTGTGACACCTTGTTTCTCACTATAAATATGTATTAAAGAGTCAAGATATATATGTGTACATATATCAACAGTTAAACATTAACCAACATTAGTAATAGATAAGACAACACAGGAGGAGTACATTTATCTTCAACATTCTTTTCACTCTAAACTACAAGAAAACCGTAAGTTAGATGAATCATAAATGTCATTTCAAGGATGGATGTGTGATATCTACACACAAGGAAACATAATGGACACTAGTTTACAGAAATCGGTTGACCTGAATAGTTTAGCCTAACATTGCATATGTATATATGGACTGAACGCCAATCAATACAATACATCAACACCACACCATTAGTTTGAAGCGAGAAAAAGAAATTTAATCATAGTCTGTTTATTCATCATTATAAACGTATATTGATTTATCATGTGCCACTTAGTAATATGATAGTCAAAACAATAACAGCAAAGAACCTACCCTAAATAATAAAAATAAACTCATACATAACTAAAGCAAGAAAGAGATTCTTTCAAAGAAGAGAAAATATTTTTCTTCGGTTTTGAGTAAATTGCTCAGGTTGCATACGATATCTACACGTCTTCAAGAACAAGTACTAATAAGGGAACTAAGATACTTCCCACTAGTACATGAAGAAATTAAAAATATGGAAATATCACGTTGCAAATGATTAAACGTAGATCCTGCAGGCACACCATCAGAATTAGATATTGCTTTTCTACTTTCCTGAACAAAATCATATTTAGTTGGTGGTTGGTCCTGAGAGGTCGGGAATCAGAACACCATATACTAGCTAAGATACACATACCAGCAATAAACTGATTATGACTGTTGGAGAAATTCTGTGTGTTTTCCCCTTAATACTTATTCAATTCCAAATATTCAACTCAATGAAACATAAGCGTTTAGTTAAGAATGAAAAAGAAAATAGTTTGTAATTTACGAAGAAACATTACTACACTATATCGCAGTTGTTTCAATCATCAAATTCATTCTGAATAACATTATTAAGCTATTGAAGAAATCTCAGGAAAAAACAATTCTACGAGAAATACGCAGGATGGCTCCTCATCCAATACATTTTATTGCACTGAATCACATTAAGCTACAAAGTTACTCCACAGGGTATGATATAATCTGACTATAATAACTCTAAAAGAAAGAAGTATAGATGGTCAACTAGATACTTCTCAAAGATTAAAAATGAATAAAATATAAACAAAATATGCACCTAATTATAATAGTGTAAGGATATATCTGTATGTATATGTAGTGTACTTACAGCTTGATATCTAGGATTACCAATATCGCTATCCCCCAGAGAGTAGCTAAAATTCACGAAAAAGAAGACTAATTATTAGAATATTTACTTGACAGTCACATATCCATGCTCAAAATGAAGCAAAGAGTCAGTCGTAGGAATAAAGTTGCAAAACACAATTAAAAGTGAACTAACTAACTTGTCAGAATTGACATCAAATTGATAATTGGTTAAATTTTGTTGAGATACTAATGTTTGAGTACTTTTTTGATGAGATTCTTTCAATTCCAATTCCAAATGACGACAACGTAGACAAAGTCTTTCTATTGCTTCATCCGCTGCCGCCTCTTGAGCTGTAAGCTATTGAAAGTAAAATCAGAAACAAAAATGATTGGAAATCAACATTTTCAACGATTGGGAGGAAAGTTAACCCAGATAACGAAATAATTCTCTTTTAGATACATATTTATTATAGATTTGTATTCGAAGTTTATTTTGTGTTTTATTAACACTTGCAGGGGGTATGGTAGTCGAACGTTCAACTCTTCACAATGAAAGTAAGTAAATAAAATCCTAGCATTATTGAGCTTATTCAAGTCTATGACATTTTTCTACATCAAAAGTAAAAGAATATCTATCAAAGAAATGAATCATATGAGGAAAATTGCCTGTAAATCTATTGGCGATGTGACGCATTGCATTGGCTTAAGGACTGGGTTTTCAGCCCATGTGTCACAGGTTCCAGTCCCATTGCACTTACCTCAGTATGGACAGCTAATTAGTATTGTCAGCCCTCACAACACGTGTAGCCTTTAGCCTGGTGGATGAGAAATCTATTCCTAGCAATTGAGTTTGAAAAAACACTGATATTTTCTTCCCTCCAAGCAACACTAATCGAGCTAAATTTAGCCACCATATAGATAGTAGTATCAGGTTGTATATTAATGGCTTGGATTTAAGATGTGTGGAGTTATTGAATATTGTATCATACCCAAAACTTTCAATCAATGAGTCACAGGCTTGAACTCATCCTCATTCAGTAAGTTTTGGGCAGCCATGAGATATTATAAGCTCCCACACTGTAGATGCAGTCGGTGTTTTATTACAGTTGTAAGTGAAGACTACAAATTTGAAGTCTACACAATTTACTAAACTCATGATATTATCGCCACATGTCTACTCTAGTTCTTAACAAGTCGGTTAATAGATAAAACAATCTACCCCTGGATATATTTATAACAGCTCATTGAATAAACACAATAAAAAAACTGAGAAACTATTCCTGTATTAAAGATGTATACAGTAATTTATACTGAATAACTTACACGTTGTTCAAGATTTCGAACACGAGATTGCAGCTTTCGCAATTGAGTAGTAGAGTCGTGCAATTCACTAGCTAGCGCCCAAGATACATTATTAACATAATTTGTGGTCCTTGGAGAGTCTTTATTCGTACCAGTAGGATAACAATCAAGCAATTCAGATGGTAAACACACGTTATCTCGTACCGCCACTGCTTGACGAATATAATCCATAATAGCTTCATTACGTCGACGGGTTGACGCTGCAGTTGCCGTTCCCTTTAGAGCTGAACGAGGACTAGAATGATGATGATCTGAGACAGCTGGACTACCATTTAAAATTTTAAAACTACTATCACTGCTATTCGACTTTCTGTGCTGTTCAAAAATACTACTCGCAGGAGAAACTTCATTCATATCATTAGAAAGCATGTATTTACCGATACAAGGAGATTCTAAATCAAAATCATCACCATTCTCCCCTGCTGGTGCTATTACATCATCGTCGTCGTCGTCGTTATCATCATCATCATCCCATTCATTGGCTTGCTTCAATGTTCGTGTAGCCACCGCAATTAATGTATGCAAAGCTTCAGTAGAATCACCACCAGATAACTGAAAAACAAACAAAGCATTTTAGATACCGGTTTAAAAAGTATGTCAGAATAATAAGGGAAAAAAGTGCATCCCATTATATTGTCAGCTAAGATACACACAATTGGACGACACTTTTTATAACTTCCCTTTAGATTAGAGCATATCTAATAACGAAATAATTGTAAACCGGGAAATAAAATATGTTTTCAGACAGAAACATGACCATATATGATACTTTTATACATCACTGCACACCTTCAAGAGTTTAAATTTTTATCAAACTTGCAATTTCTCAAAAACTGCCGAAAAATTCAACTCACCTAGAGTAAAGATAGTGAGTGATAGTGAAAAAGAAGAGAACAACAACAACTCAAGAGTCAAAATAATCACATAAAGCAACTTGAAATGTTGTTATTTTCATCAAAAAAGGGGAAGAGAACAAGTGAGCAAAGCGATGTATGGAAGAAGTTTGTTATTTTTTTCAAAAGGGTACAATCACACTGTTAAACTGTGTTTAGTATGTCACTCGATTTAATCTACACACTCATGCATGTGAGTAACTAGTTAGTAAGATGAAAATAATGAGCTAAGAGAAAATATCAAGAAAACAACTCTTACACATACCATACAACGACCACATCACGTATATCCACTGTGTGGCGACAACGGTAGAAACATTTCAATGATTAGTGAATATGCAAGCTCAAATGGCACACAGAAACTTAAATAAACATTTGTATTTCACCAAATAAGATTCTACCTATACAAGTATATCCAGAGAAGTGTGCGGTAGTGGTATGTTTCCCTTGTACGCTAATCTATCCAAAAGTAACAAAATGAACTGTAGTTTCGATTTACAGGATGGTTTATATTTTGTGTAAAATTAGGAACATCATTTTTGTACATATAACGACACACAGTAGAGGAGGTACATCAAAGTTACATTTTCATTCATTTAAAGAAATAGACACTTCATATTGTGTAAGTGTAGGTTAATAAAAATAAATGAGGAATAATGAAACAGCAACGTAGAAAAAATTGAGATAGAGCAGAAAAAGCAACAAACACGGGATGACGATTACACTTATAGGGTGTATAATGTCTACAGTTATACACCATAAGTAGAAGCATAGAAAAAATATTACTTTGAAAATGAATTGAAAATAACGCCATGTATGCTGCAATAATCCGAAATCAATGTAACACTTTACTACAGTACTAGAAAGTTTGAAAAACTGGTTCAAAACTTAAGAGATTTCTCTCTCTCTCTCTCTATATATATATATATATATATATATATATATATATATAATTACACATTTATCTGATGAGACAAAATGTTATTATGGCTAACAATCCTAAGGGTGAGTGTTGGAGCGAAATACACATGTCTTCTGTGTAACCGTACATACAGCGTAATACAGGTGAAGATTAGCCAAGATCAAACTTTCTATGTGCTCTATTTTAGAGTAGAAGGCGATATGAAAGTGAACTTACATAACGATACACTATATTTAAATGGCATTTATAGTGATAACTAAGTATCAGATAGCGGTTATTAAATTCAAAACCTTCTCTTCATCTATTTTAGTTTGACCAACTAAACAGCACCATAAAGTGTCTGTAACATACTCTGAATATGGATCATAGAATAGTAATGCATAAACAGGCATAATGAAACACAGGTGCTTTTAATTTACCATTATCACTGTTAGTTGACACATAATAATGAGCTACTATGTTCATCTTTTCAAACCAGAATAAGGGTTTCCAAGTAGAATACAAGAATTAAACCCTCACTGAAAATAATCCTGGGTAGTAGTTACATAGCACGTAGTCATATAGCACAGAACAATTGGGGTTATAAAAGAAATTTAGAAAACACTTTTTTTACAGAAGGAATAGCATAAATTACAATTAACAATTAACAGAAGTAAGTGAAACTATGATACATATATGTAGATGAGCATTCCCTGTCATTTGAAGCAATACAGAAAAGGCTATTTGTCCAAGATAGGTGTGATGTGCTCCTGCTTACAAATTATAATGAGTAATTAGTTTCAATAGAGAAAATAGAAATAAAGGATAGTGTGAAGAGAGTAAGAGTAACGATACTTCTTTGATATATATATACACTTCTTTCAAATATACAAAAGCTTGACATTAAGAGATTTTCAATGGGTACATCGCTATATAAACAGAATAAATGAAAATACTATAAGTAATGCATTATAGTGCATGAACAGTAGCTAAAATAATAAAGGGATTGAGAGAAACAAATGAGTAGGCGATTACAAATCAACGATAAAAAAACAATGACAAAAAGCGTCAAATATTTTTTTAAATACAGCGAAATGAAAAGAATTCTTATTTTTATAGCTTCATAATTTAGTCTATAAAGAGAAAAGAAAAAACAAACAGTAAAATGAATTGATGAGGAGTCGAGAGAGACATTAGAGAGATTAAACTCAACTGTATAAGAATGTTAATGGAATGGCATTGGTGCCAAGATCACAATTTGTTGAAGAATACACACACCCAATGCATAACTTTATTAAGTCGTAAATATCTTATTCTTTTTTAACTCATATCAATATTAGTCAAAATAAAATCCATCATACACACAGAACAACAAACATGTTTACTGATTAACTGTGCATGAAAATAATGAGCAGTTGTCTGACTTGAATTTTGTGATGTATTTTATTAAAAAATATTAGCCATTTTCAAGAAAGAGATACTAGCAGACTGTTGAGACGAATTGATCAATACCCTGATTCTTTTATCGTAGTCTATGTAAGACAGATTTCAACTTAAAAACAAGCAATTGTAAAATGAATCTGCCTTACTATCATAAATATGGATAAGTATGTTTCTTTGGTTGCAAAGATACTCATAACACTGTATGTTTCGGATAACAACACGGTTATTTTTTATAGTTTGGTTTGTAAGGGTTAGTTTGTTTTTATGAGTTGATCACGGATTGATATCAGTTAGAGAACCATTGAAAACAAGGGAGCACTGGACAGCTGCTGTTTCATCCTAGTTTGGGAATCAGTACTCCCTGGTTTTCAATGGTTTTCTAACTGATACCCATCCGTGTTCAACTCGTAAAAACGGTTATTTTTACTAAGAGCCTTAAATAATGCTTTCACTACTGTGGACTATCTGACCACATCTAATCATATAGTAGGAAGTTTAGATTACTTGCCAACTAAACGTGTTTCTTACTCTCACTTAGAATTGAGTGTGTTTGTTAAACACATAACTATTTCAAATAATTCTCCGATCTTAATGTAACGACAGTGACATTTGCGGGTTAATTAGCTCCGAGAAATACCATGTTGAACGAAAAAAGCGACAACCGACATCATCTATAAGAAGGAAGACTAATCAACAGTTGCCATCAGTTATTTAATTCAACTTTAGATTTTTCCGTCAATTGATAGGACCGGAGTGCTGGGTCTCAGGTTGACATGTCGGCTTCTTGTGTAGGTGCTTCCCCGATGTCTGGGCGTGCAGTTAGAAGTTAGTTGGTGGATGGTGACTAGCAAGTGTTGATTTGCAAGGATTTGATTGGGTACAGAGTTGATCAAAAGCTAACATCAGATGGAGAACCACTCGAAAACCTGGAAGTACTGAACAGTTATTTCGTCATAGTTTAGGACTATTCTTCAGCGCGCACCCACCTGGGGTTCTAGAGAGAAGTTGTAATCAGAGGGGCCCACCAAGTCAGATAAGAAGACATTTACTCGCCAGTTATTTTGGCTGGCAGTTTCGCTAAATATATATCACAAATTTGCAGATGTCGGAATCCATGGACCATTGGGTAGGGTCCACAAGCACACTTCGTAAGCGAATGGTACTGGGTTCGAATCTCAGTGGGTGCGTACTGATGAAGAGTACCAAACGGGGGCGAAACAGCTCTCAAATATCCCCCCGTTTTCCGATGGTTCTCCTTACTAATGTCAACTCGTGATCGATCCCAACGCCTACTCAATGTTAAAACAGAATGAAAATGTACATGTTTATGCTAAGATGTCCCGTAGTTAAATATAGATATGATAAACAGATTTATTTCAACCAAATAAACTAAAAGACAACTGCTTCTCATTCAGTGAATATTCTGAATAATACAAGTCTGTGCTTATTTACATTACATGTTTGGTGGGTACTTTCTCATTAGTGTGATAAACAAACATGACTGATAAATAATCTGTACAAGTGAAATTCCCTTAATAAATAATATTAATGCAATAGCGTAAAATTAGTCTAGTATTGGATACAAACTAAACTGTCAACAGAAAGACAATACAACATCCTAAGAGTGAATGCACACGGTTACCATGACAGAATGCACATTCACACTAAATGTATTTATTTCATAAATCATATACAGTATTATCTACCAGATGACGTTTAGGATACAAATTATTGTTCATAATTATATCACACAACTACACATTTATATGACTGAACGTTTGTGCACATGATATTAAGAAAACTAAATAGTCACCAATTATATACAACAGACTATTTCACTACCATGATGATGTCCAAAGCAAAACATAGAGTATATTTTAGCCTAGTGAAAGTACAACTTTCACTTGACTAACTTATTTCACGCTCACTAAAAGTTAAAATTGTTCGGGAACTGCTGCCTGAATATATCTGAATGCGAATGTGAGTAATGGGAGTTTCCCGAACTTGAGACCTGAAACTAGCATCTAACAAATAAAATAGCAAAGCATCATCCACTAGATTAAACAGTCACCTATTCAAACATCTGGTATGACTTAGTGATATACTTGCAACTACCCGTGAATACAGATGTAAAAATAAATAATACTGTAAAATTATAATTATGATATGAATATTAAGCCTAAGAAGTCACACTAATTTATCTATCTATGGTGAATCATTCTTTTTTATTCACTACTACAGTGTTCAAGAGGAATTCCTTTGAGAACTATGTTATACTTCTACCCTTATTAATAATTTGTCTATACATAGAATTACTTAGTCATACTTTAAATATGAATACAAACATCTGACAATGAATAACCAACCAATGTTTCAACATACTTTTACAACAATCATATTAGTGAATAATGTTAACCACACATCATATATACAACGGGATAAAATGTCACATAAATATATGGAATGGAGTGATTACTAATTTCTCCCACATAAAATCTAACTGAACACCTAATATACAAACTTCTATTTTTATTTTTAAAGTACATTTCAATTCCCAACCAAAAATATTGATTGCTATGCAATGGAAAGTGTTCATTTTGATAATTTATGAAAGTATGTATTTTAAAAAAATCAGCGATCACTATCCGTCAAAAAAACTATAATCATTACGTACAAGAATAAGGAGTAAATTGATAAGAAAAGAATTGAAAAATTAATGTATTGTAATGCAGCCTACTTACAGAAGAGATTCAAAGTAACTTTATATATATATATATATAGGTGAACGTAAACACAGTAATACAATACTGGATTTTCATATTCAAGTATTGGTTTGTAGGGATTTGGTTGATTGGCTACAGGATTTCATCATGAGCTGACACTGGTTAGAGAACCATTGGAAAAACTGGGAGTACTGAACAGCTGTTTCGTCCTAGTGTGGGTTCGAACCCCGGTGGGTATGTACTGCTGAAGTGTCCCACACTAGTATGAAACAGCTGTCCAGTACTCCCAGGTTTTCCAATGGTTCTCTAAAGAAAAACAGCTCATGATGAAATCCTGTAACCAAATGGATTTTCATCTTTATACTACAAATTATAATTAAGGCATAAATACCTAACGATCTAATTCGTTGGAAATGAAGTAGAACAGAAACAATGCGTTCAAACGATGAACCATGCAAACTACTTTTTTTTATTTCCTTCACGTTCCCAGTGGAAAATAGGGCTTCAAGCTACTGGCTTGAAGTTACTGTAGCAGTGTTTATTTCAAAGGATGGGGTTGCTAGCCTCATGCCCAACCTTTCCTCTTTACCAGCTTTATTTCTGGCTTAGCGGGGTGAAGGAGTGCGTCAGCCGGGGATCGAACCCCGGACCATGTACATGGTCGGCAAGCGTCCTAACCGCTATACCACCGACGCACGATGCAAACTATACACTGATTCTATCAACAGACAAAACAGCTAAGAGACTGAAAAGACATTGAATAAGCTTATTCAGTGGATGTAGATGCATAAAAATGTCAAAGGTGGGTAAATCCAATATTGAGAATGTATATATACACAATACTTACTTTGGTGACATCATCTGTTTGCGTTGATACCACTTCTTGGCTAAATGAAAGATAAGAGGAAGAGGACCATTAACTGACAGATAACACATTTTCATACAGAGCGATAGAAAAATAAAAAATGTTACATACTCTCTCCAAAAAGTGAGTCATCTTTGAACAGAATTAATGCCATTAAATAACTGAACAAGTTAAGTTAATATAAGAGCTAAAGTCTACAGGCTGACTGCTTATAATTCAATATAGTGTGCTGGAACTCCGTTGTGAAGGGTAATTTGTATTTGTTATACTCTGATAAAGTTATAAAAATGAGTTTTTCATGCTTCACAAGATCAAAAAGGTTAGACATTTGTTCGCTTATACCTAATCTGAAAATATTAAAAATGTATTCCTGCTCATAAATAGATGATTTATATGCGGATTACTTGACGCTTAGTGAATAAGCTGACTGGCAGTCTTTATCTTTACGGTATAGCAAATGCCTAGAAAATAATTGAATAGCTAATTTTACGGTATGTTTACTTTTTCAACTATCAAAAAAGAAGAGTTCACCTTTTGTCTGGTGATTTATTCACCCTTGATACTTCTTCCTCTTCGTGTTTCTCTGTTAAAATTTTCGCAATACGCGAATTAGGCGGATCTTTTTCTCTAGCTAAAACAAAACTGAATATTAAAAGAAAAGAACAGAAACCAGACTTTTAAGATTTATACACAAAAGGAAAAAAGGAAATGAGAGTTGGTCAGGGAAAGGAAAATGAGTGTATTGACAGTTTGCATAATACGAATTAACAAACATATCAATCTGAAATATATATATTTACGAAGTGAACATATATCCACAATATACTATTGTTAACTAGGGAAATCAACAAATTCGCTTCAAATTGAATTGAAAAGAACAACAAAATTCATTGGATTTGTGGAGGTCTAATCAATCTTAAGATAAACTTCCTCACAAATCAACATTCATCAAAGAGACCATTATTAATCAACCAAACAGAATTGGATCGATCATGATTACACGCTGGACCGTCCAGAGCCATCATACAAGAGTCTGAGACAAGTTACGACTGACACACTAGACTAGAAATCCCTATTGCATGATTCCCACCTTATCGTGAACGGAAAAGGTTTGTTGTTATTCAATTCCACTGGTGTGTAGCTGTCTTTACAAACGACTTGATGGAATCCATCAATTACGTACCTTTCATATAAGCTTGTCGCAAAAATACACAAGAGAGACAAGATCTCTATCTTTGATGAAATCAAATCAGTTAGTCTAATGATCAATGAAGCGTAGTTTCGGTTCACAGAGTATTAAACATCTGAAGTCAAACGAAGAAAGTAGGTTTTTTAACTTACAAAAATAAAACTAAGCAATAGTGTTATATTACTAAATGGAAAAAGTAAATTACAGGCTAACAAATTACAATCAAGTGACTGAATATACTTGTAAAACTGTCTCGTAACTTGAAGGTCTTTAGTTTAGTCGCCGATAAGTTAGTGGATAAGCACTATCGACAAGTCTTATACTAGGATAAAGCAGATGCCTAATGTTTCTCAGTTTTTAATGGTTTTGTATAGGTATATATATATATATATATATAAACATATTCCAGTTGTTAGAAGTCGAGTACATAGACTAGTGGGCTACAGAACCACAGATATAGAGTAACATGCGACAATCAGTACAGTAATTCGGATAACTAGAAAATTAAAATTGATTAATCTGATTTAAATATTTCATATTGGTTATACTTACTGAATAATATCTCCAGTATTTTGAAGCACCTGAGCGGCGAACTGCTGTGAAACACCAACCAGACTATGACCATCCACTTGAACAATTTGATCGTAAACTTGTATACTAGCGTAATATGCAACAAAATATAAAGTGAATAATTAAGTTAATTAGTAATACATATGAGGGGAAGAAAATAAAGATTAAAGGAAACATGGCGTATCATATAACAAATACACATCAAAATGAATAAAACAATTAGACTGTGAAATTGGCACTATTATTATCAAGATTGTGGAAAGTTCTTACTAATCTTAGCTCGATTATTCTCTCTCGTATAGACTTCGTCAACTGTAAATTCACTGAATTCCTTTCTTCGCAGATTTTACATGACATCAGTTGACAGGAGGTTTCCAGCTTAGTGAACAGCGCTCAGAAAACTACGTTTATACAGTTTTACACAGGAGTTCAAGTTCAAACAAAGTGAACGCTTGCATACAATGGTAAAGGAATTATGTAATAAAGACGAGCGGTAAGACGATGAGTAACAGTGGATAACAATGTAGTGAGTTTAACTCAAACCACAGAAACAAGAGATAAGCAAAATTACACTATATCAAAAGCGGGGTGAGGTTAAAGCCAGATTACGTTATCAAGTGAAAGAGAGAATGAAGAAATTCCGATGCCAGTGCAAGGAAAGACTGATAACTGCTTCTTTCTGAAGACATAAATCAGATTTCAGGCATTTGATAGAAATTGCTTCGGCAAACTTTGGGGAGAATTAAGCTTTTCTTGCCTATTGATAATTTTAAAGGATTATGCGATTTCTACCTCATAACCTGTATCAAGGAGATGCTTGATTTTGACACCATTGTAAGCGTTTTTCCCTTGAGACGCAAGCCTTTCGGTACATATTCAGAAAATTGGATGTGGGCTACTCCTTCTGTTCTCTCAATGTAACTACTCGCCGAGATACACGCAAATTTGTATACACAGTTGAAGTGAACGTGAGAAGGGTATCTGTTGACTTTTGAATGCACCAAAGAACATGTTGTCCAATAAACGGGAACCAACTTAGCTACATGACAGGCTCTGGCTAGTGATGTATTCAATCTTCTGTTGACTATTGCTGCAATATCTTTGCCTTTAAAATCGGGTTGAATGAAGACAGGCTTTTCCTCACTGTGATTTGTTTATCATTTGAGCCTTCACTTCTTCCTTATTTTTTAATGATTCTCTGAGGGAAAGCATTGTTCGTACGTGTGTATGTCTTGATAAATTTCTCAAATTAAAGAACAATAAAAGCAGTGCAAAAGTTAGACTACAATTATTTAAAAAATGGTAAATTCATTATTTTATTATTGTTAACTATGTTAGTTGCAAAGCGGTTGTAAAGAAACTACGAAATGATATCATCTCGCGAAATTTGTCTTCTTAATGCCTTATTCAAAATTCATTATTGGATAATTATTACTCCTGTAAAGAGGAATGTATGAGTACAAGAATGATAACATGCATAATATAGTGCAAATCTGTATTCCACTTAAAGTTGCACGCAGTCAATTATTTTAAGGAGATAGGCAGTATTCATGATAAGGAAAGAGTTACCTATTTTGTTCATGTATACACAATATGCATAAAATGCGTCATATATCAACAAAATAAAGGAATTTAAGTGAAAAGGAAAACAAACCAAATGTTGAAAAACATGCCCAAAAAAGTATGGATGAATGAATGGCTATGTTGGATATGATGAGTAAAAACCATCGAAAACACACATATGACATTGACATTAACTAACTTACCGTCCATCCGCCTCTGCAGCTCCTCCTGGAGTAAGTGATTTAATAAATATACTCAACTTTTGTTCACCTGACGATGTGTCAACTCCTGAACCAACTATGCTAATACCAAGACCATTTGCACCTTTTAAGAAATACAAAAAGGATTTATGTACAAAAATTAGTCTACGCATTAGCATGCACTCAAAAAAGGTAATAATTACTTATATTTAAAAGTACTACGTAGTGTGATTACGTAAAGTGAAATAGTATAAATAATAAAATTGTAGTCTGTCATAGAGAGAAGGATTGTAGCTTCCTAATTTACGATTGGTGTAGACCTCAACAATTATTTACACTTAAACTATTAAATGAGAATTTATGCATTCACAAATATATATATATATATATATATATGCAGCACTGATAAAAATTTGTACTTAATGCTGTTTTCTGTTAGCAACTTTTGCTGTGTGTGTGTGTGTGTAGATTTAGAAAATGAAACTGAAAAGGATCATAGTTATCTCAATGCAATTCTCTATTCAATCAGTGTGCAATTCAGAGGTAAATATAAGTGTTACCTGAATTCCAGCGATCTGTGTGAAAGTTCAGTTTCTTATTATCAGATGGAGAAAATGATTTTGGTAAAAAAATAGTTATCAACATAATCTGTCTGTCTGTCTGTCTGTTTTCGACATAGAACTTTGCACAAATGTGCGAAAGTTCAAGTCGCCACATTCCGTGTAGCACGCGAAGCAAGAGAAGAAAGTACAAGAAAAGCATAATAGAAACAGTGAGCAGAGGTGTGAGACAAAGGAGTAATAAAGAAAAACAAAACAGTTTCATTGGAGATCATAAGTCACAAGGAGTGGATGCATCTGCGCCACTGAGAACGGTTTTGAGCCATGTCACCAATTGTTTCCAACCATAGATTTTTACCGCCTCGAGGACCCCAGCCTGGAAGTCTACACCTTTCTACGTGGTTTAGACCAACTGTTGTGGATTTCATTGACTGATGCCATGTTTTTGTTTGACCGCCGCTAGCTTTTTTCCAGCCTGACCCTATATCCGCTAACATAGCTCGTCGAGGGAGGCGATGGCTTGGCATACGTAACACATGTCCTAACCATCTCAGTCTTTGTAGCTTCACGACTTCGTCGATTGATTTCCCCTGTTTACCTAGAACTCTACGCCTAACCTCCATGTTGCTCACCTTATTATACCACTTCACACGGGAAATAGAACGCAGGCACCTATGATCAAAGACAGCTAGTCTTTTCATGTCTTCCACTCTCAGTGGCCAGGTCTCACAACCATAAAGGAGGACGGAGCGGACTGATGAGCAACATAACATAATAACAATAAGATTCACTTGAATAAGGCATTAAGAAGACAAATTTCGCGAGATGATATCATTTCGTAGTTTCTTTACAAACCACTTTACAACTAACATGGTTAACAATAATAAAATAAAGATCATGATAATTACTCAGTTAAATAAAAAACAAAAGTACATACTAATAACCAATCATATTTAGATAGGTCATGTTGTCCATGGTAGGCGAAGATTGATGTCTATTGTTTTTTGTACACACAGTTTAGGCTGTATGTGATTAATCCAAAGTGCTTCCATCACCTTTAATAACCTTGAATTAGAAATGTGTGATGAAATAATTGTCAAGCAGTCATTATTATTGATTTTATGGCCTGACATTAATAAGTGTTTTGCAATGGATGATGCTGAATTTCTATTCAGATTAATCGCATTGGGATTTTCTATATGATTTATTAGCCATTTTGGAACATGTTCTTTTCGACGACATTGGAACATTCTGTTGGTTCTACCTATATAGGTGTCATCGCAGCTGCAGGTGAACTTGTAGATACAGTTTGAAGTAGAGTTCACAGAATTTCTTCCTTTAATCGTAGGTACAGGGATAGAAAATATTCGGCAAGTGAGAAAAAGAGATGCGGTGTAGAATGTGCGTTTGATGGCAGACCGAAGTCTTTGAGCTGTCAACTGCATAATCTGGTCGCCCTTGAAAGGTAGGTTAATAATCACATACAGCCTAAACTGTGTGTACAAAAAGCAATAGACATCAATCTTCGCCTACCATGGACAACATGACCTATCTAAATATGATTGGTCACTGGTATGTACTTTTGTTTTTTATTTATTTTGTCATGGGCTTTATTTTAATCAGATTTACACCAAATTTAGAAACAGAACGTTTGAATTATGTTAGCCGTAATCATGCACCACGCATATTTATTTGATTAAGTGTGCAGAGATCCGATAGTGTTCATATTTCATTGAATACTCATACAATCATATTAAATCAAGGTAAGTAAACAGATGTAAATAAGTAATTAGGTGCATATTCATACACTTAGCCACATCGATAAATCGACGGATGAGGATGCCGTCTACCGGTAGACTGAACATGGATCGCATCTTTGGTCCCCTAATGGCTACATTAAAACTGATGAATCACAGATCTACACTTTATCCAAATAAAATATCGCACGTAAAAGAAAGATTCATTTTAAATAAACATAATGGAAACGGTATTGTTGGGAAAAACCTCAGGCTGTTCTAATTAATACTCCCCCATTAATTGAGAAATCGTAGATAATATAATGTGAAGTTGATGCACTAACTACAATGAGTATCAAACACGAGACAGAAGTGAGAACGTATATTTCGATAGTCATATAACGAAGATGAAGGAGATGAATAAACATCACTTCTGAGAATCAACATACATTTCTTAAAGCATAAAAAGCACAATAATATCAGAAGAGAGCATAAGCTTGTTGGTTATTATATATATATATATATATATATATGATCTTCGACAGTGCAGAGTAGTATGTACTTCCTTAATCATAATAATATGAACAATAAGTTATGCTCAAGGCGTCATTCAGTAAATCCTACTATTTCGCTGTGTAATTTATACATCATGAAAACACACTAGCATAGAATTAAGCTTGGTGGTTGTATGCATCCCAATTAATGCTGAGTCATTAAATAAAAGATGACATACATTTTAACAGTTACAAAAAGGGACTTAAAAGAATAAACTGATAAACCTAGGATTATAAACAAAAATTTACAAATCTGACTCGTTTTTTGCAAGTGTATTGTAATTCATATAGTATTTTGTGAATACTGGTGGCATAGTGTATATTCAGTGCGTTTAAATTAGACAAACTGTATCTCTCCTACTCACCAATCAAAACACAAATGATTACAGACAGTAGGTAGAAATTAGACAACACTTAATGGTTAATTTATTCTTATATTGGTGTGTGAGCCAAATACCACACTGAAACAGTTGGATAATGATCAATATGCAACAATCAATACAGTGTCTCTTATTTAATTGTAATGACATCTAATGAATTCACAAAACTACAACCACCATACTAAACAAATTTTAGAATGCCCTAGAAACAACAAAGGTCGTGGAATTATCAATAAATATTAATTCAGCTTTACTGAACTTCCCTTTCACCAAGATAATTGTTTTAGCTTCAGTAATAAAAATAACTATGAGGTAAAACATCCTACCCCAAAAGACATATTAAATTCACTGAATATGACCTTGAATGTGAAGAATGTCCAACAGAATAAAATTTTAAAAAATACTTGACCAATAAAATTTGGATGAATCAACGATGAATATAAAATTAGTCTGAAAAGAGTAAACAAACCTTTGTGAAAATCAATTTCAAACATTTCCATATCTTCAAGATGCTTTTCTAATTCATATTCTGCTGAAGCAGATAATGGATCGATTTCTTCATTTCGACGATTGTAATCTGTAGTTGAATGAGTGCTGAATACCTAAAGTTTGCAATGAAAAAGAATCATTGAGAGAATGCAGGTAATATTTAGTGAAATGACGTAAAATACGAAAAAAACAACAACACAGGACTAATAGGCCACAGACGATTCTAGGTATTAACACAATCGCACCTTTTAGCTACGAAGGTGTACAATACAGGAAAAAATCACAAAAGCAAATGATGACGGTAAAACATTTCCAAACGTTCATATTTATGAAGCTTTACTTACAAGTCAAAAGGTTGGGAGGAAAAATCTTTACAACGCAATCAATAAGGTTGATAACGAAGACGTGAAAACTATGGCCTGTGAGAAGGCGGTTACTAAACATTATAAAGATAAATTTGTCGCAGAAAGTGAACAATAAAAAATTCCGAAATTACAATTTGTGGTTGAGACTACTCATAATCAGGGGGATTTCTGAATATCAAAGTTGATAAAATTATTAGTATCTTATTTCAGTTGTGACTTGATTTCCAAATGATATGATTCAAGACATAGGTCACTTAGGAGGTGTAGATGACTTCGTTTTTGCTAATTAAAATATTTCTAAGACAGGTCTATAATAATGAGTTCTCAAACGTTTTCATACAAAATCTTCCGCACTATTCATAAAAATTATAATTAACAAATCCATCCGTGTGTACACTAAGACAGAAGCCATACTTAATTCATGATAGGTCTACGCATCTGAAGAGAAGTTTAAACTTCAGAAATAAAGCACATAAACCAGCTGGTTACATCACGACATAACTTGTTGGTTTTTATTAGATACATCCTTAGGCAACATGCCTAAAGGAAATAAATAGCGCATACGCATCGGATTGTTTCACTTTTGAACAGAAATAATTGTATGATTTATCACTCAAAACCGCCTGAATGAAAACACTTTTGAAAGCTAAAAAACAACTCTGTGTGTCAGTGTTGGTGAACACTGAATGAGCAACACATATGGCTTGTTTATTGGAACTGATCTTTAATCGGCTGGAAAAAGCGATAGCAGCTTTTGTCTAATCGTATGCTGGTTGGTCAAAGACTGGATAAAAACGATCAGAAGTATTATTGTGATTTATGTTGACGGTTATTCATAAACTTTGTACTTTGTAACCAACTCGGTTGTTCTGGTTCTTTGTCACCGAAAAAATAAACGATCCTCATATTGCCAATTCGTTTTCTGATATTTTTACGTTCGTTACAGTAAATAGTATTCTGAGGCACCAATTAGTCTTCTGGAATCAACGCTAGTTTCAAGATCTTTTTCGCTCTAGACGTTAAACAGTTTCCGATCTTGTTCCATGACACTGTGCTTGTCATAAAATTAAATCGTCCACCATGTTATTCGAAGTTCTTTCAATGCCATTGAAAGTAGTGAGGTGTTTGTTGAAGAGAATGAGAAATTTCCATTATTAATCACCCAACTACATTTCAAAACGCCACCTATAAGGTGAACATAATTTACTGTGTGGTTGGTGGTCAAAATTCTACATTCTTTTAAACAACACTCAAGTTATAATGAGATGTTAAAGACACATATGTTACTAGCTGATATGAGCAGGGAACAATTCTCTTTTGCACGACATACTAAAGAACTTTGAAGACAAGAAAACTCTTCCGCTTTCTTACTGAGTGAATCACTTGAAACAGTCAAATTCTTAACAGCACTCGAAATCTTAGGTGGCTACTGAAGCAGATTAAAATGCAGAATAATAGCCAGCTCTGTAAAAGCGAATTTTAACAGTGTGTAGGTTTAACTTCAGTAAAGTAAGAGTGTAATAATATACATACTGCAAATCGGTTTCAGTATTTTGAGACCATTTGTGGCAAACACGGATTAAGATAATCTAAGAGTTTAATGAGTAGTCTCGTCTGAACTATTTCCTGATTGTTTCAGTCCGCCTTGCTTTGTCTGTACTACTAGTAATTCAGTGCAAAAAGCCAGATTTAAAAACTATCAAGACATTTGGAATGACCTAAGAAAGAAGTTGCCATAAGGAAAACTAATTCAAAAACGATTGGTGAAATCGGTCTAAAAAGAATCAAAAAAGATACTTTTAAGGATTTGGGGTACCTCAGTATGATTCTAGTGCTTTTGAACGATACATTTTAATCATAATCTAACTCTACTCATTAAAAAATATTTGTGAATAAATGATCAATAATCTAATATGCTGTGACTTTTACGTATTGAGTGAACAAATTTCAGATTGAAATTCATGTCTGTAATGAATTAACGCTTGATTTTTAAACAATGTGATGTACTCATATTTGCATGTACGCATACGAAAAGCGTATTATGCGACTTATTGTTTAAAATGTAAAATTCTAGACGTCAATGAAATGTGTTCAAAAACAAGACAAAAAATTGATATATTTTTATTACTGCAAGGAATGATTACAATATTTTACTTGTAAGTGGAGTGTGCACACATGTGATGTCAGCGCATACACGAGCGCACACAAACACAGACACCTACCTAAGAGTATACCTACACTACACTTTATTTGTCAGATGTGCATAGATTTATATACCTAAGATCTAAACAAATGCTACATGCAACAGGTAGCTTGCAAAACACAACAAAAAAGACTGTATCATTGTTATTACACTATCACGCCTTGCTATTTTGCATTGTATTCAACATACCATAATGATTAACAGCTATTTGACATAAAGGAGATATCGGTTTATAGGGTAATTGAACAATTTAGCAGAAGACAAAAAATGCAAATGTTGCTACTTAGTACGTGCACACATTGTCTAGAAGAGGAGTTTTAATCACTATGCCGTTGATAAAAAAGAAAATTGTATGGTTATCAAAACCTAGTAGACTGGACACTGAACAGAATAAGTGGGGCTACAAAAGGCCGCATCACTGATGTGGTCCATACTGAAATATAAAACTTGTATAGTTTTCTTGGACCGCATTATTTGTGAAACCTTAATCAATACTTACAGCTTCAAATTTAGTTAGATAATAGAGTTAACACACGCCACTAATTGGGAAGGATAAATAACTTGGCAACCATATTCATATCCGAGCAATAAACTAGATCTGTGAGAGGTCTAATGATACTGTCTGACTATCGCTCAAAATTTTGTATGTGAAGCGGGATCCGAATCAATGACCGCTAGTTTAAAGTGAAGTAGTAAGGCGATGCCACAACACCTATGACGCCCTCTACCCGGTTATGTCACATCGAACCAGTCTTACAAATAAACAGAACTAATTTACGTTGCACTATGTCTTAAAGCAGGTGAAGCGTGACTAGTCGAATTTGACATCATGAACATTATGTACAGACCGATGAAGCCTAATTAAAACATAGTGACAATTTTGTCGTAGATTGACATCAGGTAGATAATCACTTATAATTAAGAGACGTAAAGTAGTTTTTGTGTGCTCTGTTGGAAAAACGGAACAACTGTAATCTGACTGTGTTTACTAATGATAACTACCTTCCAATGCGTCCACTATGCAAGTGTAATTGTATTTTTACTACCATTGAGGAGCATGCTTGACACTGACTGAAATTATTAATGAGGGATTTTGCGTAATGATGTTCAAGTGCAGTCAAACACCATTAAAAAGAGATTGTGGTATGTAACAATATGACCCTCCTCTAGAGAATGGAATATATATTCCCCTAAGATAAACTACAACGCAAAGTACTGCGATTAATGATGACGGTGGTTACATCCGACAATTTGACTTATTTACACACTCACAGTGCTGACACCTGATTCGAAGAAGAGAAGTTTAACAACTCATCTGATTGATCCACAAATTTGGAGTTATAGACTAATTTTTAAAAAAGTTTTAAATAGTCGAGTAGGACACTTAATCCACGTGCTTGCGCATCTGACACTACTGCATGTGACTACTAATTTGCTTGATTTATTTCTCATTACACTACAACTGTTGACTACTTTATAGATAAATTTGGCACTTTATATTGATGAACCGTAATAAGACTGATAACATTCATCTCAGGACACTAACAACTGATATTAGCATAAGCAATAGTTTTATGCCAAATCAATCGAATACATGTTAAGATTTGAAAATACAAATGGACAGTGAAGTTCTAAGTAAGCTACCAACTATATTACTATCATATTTGAAATGACATAATAGTAACAATCATATCGTTAGGTTGTTTAGGTAACAAGAGACTAAACATTTAAAAATGTCTGAGATATATTACTCTATTTATTTCGTCGAATATTTGTGCGTAGAAAATAGTATACACAATGATTTTACGAATCATGCCATAAGCATAGTAATGTTTCTGAATATCTTTAAGGATACACGTATAGAATTGAACACTACAGAGTATATAACCACATAGTTTGGACTGAATACAATATATACAATACTCAGCAACCTGAATTTAGGATACAGTGGAATAAATTGCAAACAGATATCAACTATACCAATCTAAAATGTTTAAATCGACTAGACAAGTACGCACACACAAAAGGAGCAGAACTTCAATTTCTCTGTTCCACTTATCACTATAATTATTAACACAGGAAAGATTAGATAAGTTTGGACTACTGGACGTTAGTAAAACACCGCAAAACAGAAAATAGATGTTGGTCGGTGGAACAAAACCAAAACACCCTTTGAAGTTGATCAATGCAAATGGCGCAGTGAATGTTGTAGGTCAATACCGACTAAAGTTCCTACAATATTTGCTTATTAAGCTTAAGCGACCAAGTTACTATGACAACTTTCGATTCTCAATTAAGTGAAATGATTGGTTTGCTCTAGAAGAATAATACCATTCAATAATAATTCTTTTAAAATGACAGAGAAGATTTGTACTTTAGATGGACGATTTTGGTTCAGTTGAATCCTTTAGGATAGCTTAATTGTCAAACTTTCATTGTCGTCGTTCTAAACGACGTCTTCATAGCCAACTTCAGGATCAAATGTAAAGAAGTGTGATTATGTTTAAGATAATTTATATCAACTATGAACATTATATTGATGAAAGTGGATATAGCCTTCGTCTTTGCATATCCTAGCAGTCAAGGGATATGACAATTATTCCTTCAAACAAATGAACGTGAATAGTTTCAAACATCAATTCAATTGGAAAGATGTGCAAATTTTAAACAAATAACCATCTTCTTTTCAAATGCTCTTGCACAACTATCTGAATGAAGAAACAGCGCATTAATCAATGGCACATACTCCCTTCAAGGTCAGACATCGACATACTACTTCTCGGCAGAGTAAGTTAAATTCTGCCTTCAGATCAAAGAAAATGGCAAGTGCTTTCCACCTATAGTTATGCCTATGTTCTAGAACTTGTGAACAGGTGAATATACGATCAATACGGCACCGTCCGAGACTAACACCTATCTAGTTTTCACGGGTTTGTTCCTCCCATACACCGCTTAGTTCACACAGAACTATTGGACCTAGAACTTAGTTAGACTGGTTCCTCTGTGATCAATACGAGGAGATTTGGCTCCCATCTTAGAAACTAGAACAGTTACTGATTTAAACCAGTCCAGAGGGACTATTTCAAATTCCCACATATTACATAATATCTTGGTTAAGGTAGTTTGATACAGTCGGCTTGCTTGAATTTCGGGTTACCAAAAAATACCATTTTCCATCAGCCTATACCTTGCTTCGATATTCTTGTTTCAATCAATCACAAGTGTCTTTAAATCGTATTAATTATAATCGTGTGTTTTTTAAGATCTCTTCCAACCTATCACGCTGAGGAAAAACATCACTCTGGTTGGAAGCGTGCATCAAACCTACAGAAATTAATCAAATGACTGTCCTTGAGGTTATTAATACTAACTGTATATTTCTGCCTAACAAAGTGGACTACCTCCAATCTGTAATATCCTCAAGTATGTAACGAAATGCTGGTGTTTAAGCTACACAAGAGCAGTAGGATGATAAGCTAATCTCATTACAAATGGATATGAAGTTTCTCATCACGACAGACATAGTTTAAAGAAAAAGCATGGAGGACGGGTAGCCACTAATATTAATACGAAGTGGTCTACATCTAATCATCTTTGTTTTCATTTTTCCAATGGAAATATAGGCTGCATCATAGTTAGGTGGCGTCCAAAGCATTAAAGTAAATATTCCTATATACACACAACAGATGTTTATATGACCCCGGGATGAAATCCCTCTGATATATCTACACCTTCGCATACGAATTTATTGCTCCTATATTTGGAAATTCCTTGTCCATACTCTATGGGGGCTTTCACTCTTAAGATCAAAGCCTTCTCACATCAATTGGTCAAGACAATCATGTCAAATCCAATATTCGTCTGGACAAAACCTTAAACTTGGTTTTCATAAACGATCATGAAATTTACGAGGTGCAAAGTAGGGCTCTATTGCCGAATCCTGACCATGGCATTATTCGTCTTTTACCGAAAATGTATGGCAAGTTACACAAAAGGGTTTTTTGATTACCTAACAAAGAAAGTTCAAGAACGATCCTATTCACATGATAATATTCTTGCACTAAGATGCATGTTGTGTGACAATGACTGGGACCTATTCGTTGATGAAAAAGTTACTGTAACTGATACCACCTGCTATCTCAAGTTTCGTTTGGACATTTGCAGTCTTACTGAAACGCTGTTTACGATATATGCTAGGATCTCCATCGCATCTTCTTAGTGAATATCATTCAGGGTAAGACATTAGTTATCTGACTCAATTATAAAAAGGGGAATAAGATGAGAGGGATTCACCTTCATAGTACTGAAATAAAAATAGTTTATTAGGAACTTACTAAAATAGGTTCCGAGCTGAATCGAACTCTAGGCTGTTTAACTAGGCTGTCACTACTACCAGAACGCTTACTGACTAATTTGTCTGCTGCCTGTGCTTTTGACGAAGTGGAAGACGAAGAAGTTGAAACAAGTTTGTCAAAGTTTGGATTTTTACGTTGTTCTTCATTATCTTGATCATTAGAAGAGTAAGCTGGATTAAGATCAGTCACATTAGCAACATCTTCACGGGAATCGTAAAAATCGGAATCATCTGAATACTTCTCTGATAGACCCGGTAGAGCATATAAGAAATTTCCATCTTCGAAAATGTGCACTCCATCGGCATCAACTGTAAAATATAAGAAACATGAAGAAAAAGTTGTCATTAACCAACATAAAATAATTCAATAAAAACTTTATAAACATTACAAAAATATTGTAATTATCAGGTGAAATGCAGAATAATTCAATTGAAGTAGCATACAATCTATGCATATTATTTAGAGTATCTAAATGGTATGGTGGCTAGGCGAACATAAAGAATAGTGATTCAAGTTAATGATAGGTAAATGAACTCGAGATAATCAACCACAGTGGCTCGAATACTGGATAAATTCGTAAAAACATTTAAATGTGACCTTTCGAATGAAACCCTTGTAGTAAACTTGAAGACATGTATGGAACATGTTTGCACACATCTGTTATCACACATAAGTAATTTTCACATTTCTGTGCAGTTAATAAGTGTTTGCTTTGAAACATTTCGTTGGACTATGTAGTCTGGGTGGCTACTCCCTTCATATTTACCAGAAAGCATAGATACAAACATTATTAATTACGAATTAATTTTCAAATGTGCATCTGTAGGGACTTCACTGATTTCTTGCTTGTTTACGGATTGATATGAGTTAGAGAACCATTGAAAACAAGGAAGTACCGGACAGCTACTACGCCCTACTTTGAGACTTATGTTAACACGTGACCATACTTGAAATCAATCAATCCCCTACAAACTAACGCTTGAGAATTAATCCGATGCTGAGTAATGATCGACTACAGGACGAAGTTGCCAGGATTTCTAGTAGGAAGTAGTGACCAGTGTAAGGACAAATACTCTCCGGTGATATTGGCTGGTGATGGAGCTAAAAATCGCGAATTAATAATTTACGGTCATTTAATTTAAAAAGTGGTAAAGAATTAACCTGTATGGAAACATAAATCAACAGGCCTAATTACTAGTTTCAGTATCTGGCAATTTCTTTCTTTCATACAGAAACCCATATTCCTGGCTTTGTTTTCTCCTCCACCGTATACCTTCTAAACAAATAGATGATTGCATTTTTTAACCAAGTAACTATAATCTTTACACTTAAACATATTTAGGACATTTACTAAATTACTCGTTTCATTTAGGTAATAAGGTAATATAAGTGTTAAATATTTAAAGAAAGAAAGAAAGCAAGAAAAATGAAGTGACTTCTTATATGGATGATTATTGTGAAATATTATTTCTTAAAGATTTTTAAATCTAGAATAATCAGAAGTTCAATTAGCCTTAGCAACAGAATTGAAAAATTTGAATTTTCGACTAATTTGTACTGTGAGCAATAAATTTAGTTAAGCTAAAACCCAATAAATAGGCAGTTATATCCTGATGATAAGTATCAGCCGGAGTAAAAGATAAACTGCTTCACTAATCTTCATTCCTATTTTGTCCGTTCAGATGTCATTTCAAATTGCTTGACAATTATTCTGTTTTCGACTATACCACAATAAAAGACTGAATACATAATTTCTTTTTTCATTCTTTTGCGTTTCTAGTGGGAGAGAACTTTGAAGTTTCAGTGGCAATGGTGTTGTTTTTATAGGGTGGGGTGGCTAACCTCGAGTCAGACCTTCCTTTTTCTCCAGGCTTACTACCGGCAAGTAAATTAGGCAAGGTCTAGGACTGTGTCGGTTGGAAATCAAACTCTAGGCCATGTGTGTAATTGGGTTACATGAATGTATGCATGTTTTCATGAAGTTACTAAGACATACAACAAAGCGACTTTATGTATAAGCTAGTCGGATATACGAACTGTCCACATAACTGAACGAAGAAATTTGAGGGAATAATTAAAAAACAAACAGCGTAAACGCGAATGCAATTATGAAATATGAAGTGCATAAGGTTTAGAACAAGCATAATTTACCTGCTACAACATTCAATCCTTTAGGGATAGGCAGGGTAGCCACTGAACTGAAAGGTGAAGTACACTGAGACCCATTGATCATCATTACTGATGAATTTGCAGTATTACAGTGTTCAGCATTATTATCACTCTTGTCATCTACACCATCTTCATCATCTGGGGTACCTACTGCAACAGATTCAGCATGTTGTAGTACTGGAAGATTGTCTGAACTATCCTTACATTCAGTTTCACGCAATGGAGACATGTGAAATGCATCATGTGGAAGAACGAAATCCTACGAAGAGAAATTTTAAAAAGTTAGAAATTGGTAGCTGACTTCAGAAATCCATAAAATTTGGATAAACAAGCAAAATATAGGTGGTATTGAATAAGTGAAAATGAATATACAATCTGATACATAGAAACACAGGAGAACCAAGGATTAGTAAGTAAAGGGGGTGGGTGGATTAAGTGAGAATGTCACACTGGTTAGTACCACTGTAAATTAGCAGCATCAATGACTAAGTGAATATGTTGCTTAATTATGGAATGCAAATATTACTAGACCTGTTGAATTTTAGATTTTGAATACCTTTCAGATTTCAATTCTAGGATGAAAGCATGTTGGTTGGAATTATAATGACCACACACTGAAACATCACTTCTATAAAATTAAAACATGTCTATTTTAAGGATATACTATACAAAAAGCTTCAAGCCATTTATTTATGTAGTCAAAGTACTATAAATTAGTTTATTGTTTATAGCATTGCGATCCAATTACAATTGAACAATGATATTGATTAAAAACAAAAAGAAACCTATTTAACGGATGTAATATGATAGTAAATACGCTAAAATATATTTCAATCAACAGATTAATTCATATATTTACAGGTGGTCAGTTAAGCAGAAGAATAACGTACAACGACATTAAATCTAAACAGGAGAATTCAGACAGTCGGTTTCTTTTTTCTTTTCACTTTGTATCAGTAACTGACCACAAAGAAACCAACCAGGTTGTGAAATTAAAATTAGGATAGAAACAACAGACTTTCTACCACTCATACGACAATTGTGTTACAACGCTGTTATGATTACAGTAGAAATGAAACTTTATCATCGCTTCAGTTTAATAGTCAGTTACAAAAAAAGACGGTGATGATTTACACCTAGCAAAGACTAATAGTCTTAAGCCCAATAACATATGAATTGAAATAATAAAGGTGCTTTTATTACATGCCAAACAACTAAGCAAGATGCCATTTAAAAGCCTTCGATAAAGACAGGACAGATATCTTGAAAAATCTAACACTAACAAAGATCCTTAACAGGCAAATAGAAGGACTCATATTCAATTGCTTTATGATTCAAAGCTGATTGGTAATACCTATCTAAAAGGCAATGTACAATGTACAATGAAGATGTATTTTGGATGTAAGATAGATAAGTAGAATTTTAAAAACATTGAGTTTAATCTGGGCTTTTTGGTACTGCTGTGTTTTCTGAGCTTTCATTATCCTTCGCAATTAAACATCCCTCGACCCGAGCTGCGAATCCTCTACATCACTGCATAAGCTTGTTTTAAGACCTGAGTTGACACCTTTGAACCACTCAGCGAATATATGAATATCTTTAAAAAACTAAGAAACATCCAAATGACCTATTAAGAATAATGAAAAAAAATATATTACCTGGATTTCCGAGGAATTTCCATGATGATCAGTGGATGAATCGGGTAAACTAAAACAGGTCATAGAAAGAAACGCAAATATAAGAGTATTATATAGAAAATATTACCTTGAAAAACCGTATTTAGAAATGAACTGAACTTCAACTGTGTTTCGATTTTGTGATAAATTCATAAAATAGGACAACTTGCTGGATAGATAAGTCGATGTCAATAATTATCTATCACTAAATCTACAACCAGTTGCACCTAAAATTACTTGGACACATCTGTAAGTAAAAAACAACTGTTAGTCTACGATCTTTGAGTAAGCCACCACTTGATATAAATAAATATAAAGGGATTTTCTGTCAGACTGTGAGCACCCACTTTTACCCGTAGCTTTTACCTTGTGTCTTCCCTTAGATAAAACAAGAAGTCATTTCATCAGAAGACTTTATGCGCACACGTCCAAGTATAAAAATTCCACGATACCGTAATTGGCTGCACGTATCTTCCGTGATGAAAATATTGTCAGGCATGAACTGACTAACCTTTTTTGCACTAGTAAATAAGCAATTTTCTCCTACTATAATCCACCAAGCTTTACTGTTATTATTCGTCTTATATTTACAATACTCTCATTTGTTGTGTTTATTTCCTCACAAGTGTAAACATCATTTAAGCTCTGTACCAAATGTTATTTTTTGTTTTTCCCCCCACCACGCTATGTTAAGAGAACATTATATTCAATACTGCATAACTTGATAAAATTTCCCAACTGTATCAACAATACTGTTTGAAACAAACCCACTGTTATATGCACATTTTCGACTTTATTCCTAACGTAAATGTGAACAAATTCCTGTAGTTAATTTTATTTGTATTTTTGGGTCAATTAGATGCAATATTGTGACAAACGCTGAGAATTCCGTTCTGTATTATAAGTACTGTTTTTGAAATAAAGCAGCTTATTATTATTATTATTACTAAATAAACAGGATGGTAAGGCCACAAGGTCAACCATTAAGAATACTTTTTCTACTGTGAAGTGATATCAGTGAAGAAAATATTTATTATATTATTTGTATACGCAACCAAGTCATCATTCAAGAAAGCTAAAAGTGTGACAAGATTAAAATACTGACTGGAATAGTCGCGTCCCGCCATGGATTTTTTTTTCAAAACTGATCGATCAGTCGAATAGTAGTCAACACCATAGAATATCAGTGAAAGTTGATTATAAAAGCAATATTACATATAATCTTAAGCTGTACACACACATAAACACAATAACTACAACATGTTAGCAACTCATGACAAACAGACACTAGGTGGTAATTTTAATATACGAACCAGGGGTAATGATAACTAGTAATGTAGGTCTTGATTTATCTATGATGTATACAGTGAATTCACAGAATATTTAGAGATATATAAATCAGACTAGATCAATAGAATCCGAGTATTTCAAAATCATAGAACAGTACCTAGATTACCATTTAATAGTCAATTTTATAGGACATATAAACAACGCATAGTTTTTAGAAGATTCAAATTCAAAAAAAACTTAAATTCTATGCGTAGTTTTTATAAATAACAGCATTAACGCGTCGTGTGAAACCTTATCATTCTTCAAAACTAGAGGTCCTACAAAAGCACGAATATACACAGGATGTAAATGAATGACAGTTAAACTGAGTCAGGTAGGGAGATGTAGACTTCCGGGTTGGGGTCCCCGGGACCCTAAGAATCAATGACCGGAGACAATAGGTGACATGGCTCAAAATCGTTGTCAATGCCTAGCGCAGATGTATTCAGTCTCTGTAATCTTTCATATTTCTTTCTACCATTACCCATTCTGTTTTGCTCTCATACCTGTCAAACTCCATTGATTATTTTCACTCATCTTCTTGTCTACCTTTGTGTGCTATTTGGAACGTGGCAACTCGAACTGGTGCACTTCGGTGCCAAGTTCTATGTTGAATCCAGACAGACAGAGACAGAAATGAAGGCGCTGTGACTGAAAAATTAAGACTTTTATTTTTATCTCGAATAAAAAAATAAAGAGAAAATAACTTTTTGAGAATTGGATGTATTCATTCAGTGAAATGAAATCGCATACAACAATCCCAAAACCACTAACTGTTAAAATCAGATAATAACAGAACACAGCTAATATGTTTTTAATAACTTACGGTTGTGTTGACTGTAGGCAGGAATCTTTCGGTGATTCAGTGGTTTCAGCTGACTGACAGTTACCTACAAAGTATAATGAATAGAGCGAGTTAACACATAACCGATGCGTATCACTCGTAGAGTAAAATGTGTAACAGTATGTCAGTTTTACTAAATACGCTTTCCAATATATGATAACCTCAGGTAATTATACAGAATAAAACTATGAAATCATTTAATCGTGCTAGGAACCATTACAAATATGTATGCAAGGGCGAATGTGTCAAAAATATATCATCTTTGGTTACAGGATTTCATCATGAGCTGACATCGGTTAAAGAAAACCTGCAGGGAGTACTGGACAGCTGTTTCGTCAGCCTAGTTTAGGACTCTTTATCAGTACGCACCTACCGGAGTCGGAACCTTCTGGTTACAAGGCTAGCGAGCTCTTAGACCATTAAGCCAATGGGGTCCAATCGAATGGCCCATGAATTCCAACTTCTGCCAATTTACAACATAGCGCGACCACTAGCCAATGTCCTGGGCGAATATTTGTCCTTACCTTCGACCTGCTGTTATTTATCACAACTCCCTTTTTAGGTTTTAGAGTTAAACAGATTTACTTTATCCAACTTAATATAAGGTGCTATTAAGCATTTCTACGACCTACTATTTGAACTTTAAAAAAAATCTGAGCACTCATTAAAATAATAAGAGTATGCATGTATCACAACATACCATCTTTAGTGTTTAAGCAATTTTCAACCGATTTCTCTATCTTGTTACACAAATATGATGGAGTTATAGATGCATGGGATAAATGTTCAACAGGATCTTTAGGAACTGGATGTGGTTTTACTTTTGTAGAAGTCATATGAGATATAGTCACTGTTGGGTTTTGAGCAGTATTTAAGTGCGGTACATCGCCGTTCGCCTTCACTGTTGACGATTGATTGTCAGTGTTATGACTAGTGAAAGTGATGGAATAGCTTTAAGAGAGGATAAACAAATAAACAACAATTGAAAAGTAAAGTGATCACTAATTTTTGGATGCCTTTAGTTTCATGCGAGATTATATTTTTAAAAACACTAATGAATGGAACGAAATTTATGAAAACCGGGGGTCATAAGCATATAATTGAAAAATACTATCTTTAAAAATATAAATTAAAGCGAATCTTAAATTCAGAAAATTAACTTGGTGAAACAAACAATATTATTTAAAATACAAGAGAACTTGTATCTTGAAAGTTCGCAACTACTATATCCACATAGTTGGGAGTGTTTCCTGTAAGTTAGAAAAACTAGCAGAACCAGAATAGTTGGGAAATTAGCAAGAAGTATTTCGGGTTACCGCACATTATATCAGTACATCAGGATGTTAGGTAACAATGAAAACAAGGATCTTTTCAGAGGTTATACAAAACACCATCTAAAATAGCATCAGTTGTCTCCAATAGTACAAAGGAATTTGACTCAAATCACTTGGTTTGAGTTCATCAGTTTTGTTTGTTTATATTTTCACGAATAACCCTCGCCAATAGTCGAATACTTAAAGGATTGAAGTTCTGTATTGTTGTACTGATTTTCTGCTAGTTTTTAAAAAAAATTATCTATTCATCATTCACCCAGCATAGCAGGCTCAGATGAATACTTCTGTATAGGCATAACACATGTTCCAATAGTGACAATGTAGGGTAAACTTTAATGTATTGTAGATAAACTCATTCAGTCTAGTGCTTCTGCGTCGTTGTTGTCATAATTCTTCTGCTTATCAACACATAAAACTAGTTTGTTTATAAAGTATTCTATCTCTACACTAGTGTTAACAGAATGTGTCTTCTAATCTGATGCATAGTGCGAATATTATTAAAATCTTCTATACTGACTAGGTATAGCATATTTTATGTTCACAATAAAAAGGATTAATCAGGAACATTTCCCTACCACTAGATGACTGTAAAATGAATAAAAAATAAAAAGCAAACTGACTAACATACTTGGAATTTTTTACCAGTTCTGAAGTTTCAACATGGGAATTATTTTCACTGGAGATTTTTGAGGCAACTGGTCTTAGCTTAACCTTTGAAAAAATGCAATAGGGGGTAAATTAATTTACAGGTAACACAACAAACGAAGTCAATATTTCTGCATTGTATGAAGTAAGAAGCCACATAGAACATGAGGTTATTCATTTTTGATCATCTTTAATCACTCATACAATAGCTCTGTCAGAAAACAAGTTGTTCCCATGATATAGTACTAATTTTCACTGGGTGGAGCCTTCTGAGTTTTATTTTAAATGCTACAATTTCATACCCTAAATATACAGATGACTATAAGAGGATAGCGGCATTTAAAAACAAATTCTGTTGAGAGCTGTAATTAGAAAAATTTTCCCTATAGAACATTCAGACGCATGATAATATCGATTTATATATACAAACTCGGCTGAATACGATCAGTAGTATGTCTTCGGAAAGTATGTAACTATTCATACTAACCGGTAAGAGACTTATATGCATCACAGGCTACAAAAATTTACTCTCAGTGAATGAATGATTATGTAAACGAACAATGAGGCTTAATGAAGTTCAGCAATCCTTTATGTTATTTTCTTCAGGAATTCATGAATAACTGGCAGAAAATGGAAACGAAATATTCCACTAGATCGAAAGCATGAGTAATGTACGCAAGTTGTAAACCAACAAATCTAGAAGTATCAAAATACTATATATATATATAGAAGATTCCTGGCCAACACCAACAGCAGCAACAACAACAGACAACAATCAGCATAAATGGGAAGAACCTGAAAGAAACAACCTCCTTTACCTACCTACCTGGGAAGTATAGTTTCAACTACAGGCAAACGGAACTGACGAGGATATCAAAGCCAGAATCAGAAAAGCAAGGCAGGCTTTCATTACTCTTAAGTCTGTATGGAAGTCAACAGCACTCAGCATCAAAAATAAGATCGGGATTTTCAACTCCAATGTGAAGTCAGTCAGTGCTACTTGCTATACAGATCAGAGACTTGGCCAGCGCGTCATAAAGAGCATTTCAAATAAAATTCAGACCTTCATTAACAGTTGTCTTCGCTCAATACCACTCAAGATCAGATGGCCGGCCAGAAAAGATCAGCATCAGGGATCTCTGGAAATGAGCGAACCAACACAGCAGGAACCGATTGTGAAACAAATAGGCAGGAAGAAATGGAGATGGATTGGCTGGCCATACTTTGAGGAAACAAGCCATCAAGTGACATCACTAGACAAGCCATTGCTCGAGTAGAACCCGAAAGGGAAGCGGCGAGTTGGTCGTCAGTGCAAGGGTGACTTGGAGGAGGTCATGTGAGGAAGAGATGAAAGCATCTTGGCAGACTTGGAGCGGAGTGAAAAAGTTGGCAGAAAACAGAAGGCAATGGAGGTGCGCAGCTGAAGCCCTATGTTCCTCTAGGAACTAAAGGATATAATAAGTATATATACATATACATATATATATTGCTTACTGCTTCAGGAGTTGAAGGCTTGGCTAACGACAAATGGCGAGGTTTGGGAGGTCTTTTAGGCGGAGACTGGAGAAGAGAGTGAGGCTCAGATGAAGAGAGCGCTGCATCAAGTGATCTGGATGAAGAAATGCTGAAAAATAAAACATATTTACACTATGAGTATCTTAATAACATAATTATTCAACTATAATTTTGGCAATGTATTCATTATCCATAAGAAATATTATGGTAGTCATTACTCCTTTGCATAGCGCTGCTTCATTTTTACGTATGCACAGAAATAATGTAACTTAAAGGTTTGCAACATATTTATGTACTGTGTTATGTGCTACGCTTAAATTACCACCCAGTTTTCCATGCCAACATAGATGAAGTGTGATTCAAACCTTAGGCTGCTCAGATAAGCTAAGCACACATGAAAATAACAGAAGTAGTGGAAGCTGCCAAACAAAACCAAAGAATATTACAGTATTAAGTATCGTGGAGGAAGACAAGGCGTCACCAAGTGGTTTTCTTTATTACCAAGATGTTACTTACTCTCACTTGTTCACCACTCTACCACCTGTATAACTCATCTCTGGAAGGGATTAAAATGTTGGACATTACCTCCGGGGGAAATATTTGGTTAATTAGACACACGGACTCATGTAAAAATTGGCGTAAGCAGACACCACTTCAAAACAACAAACAAAAGGATAAAAATAGTTACAACCGGAGACTGTAAGAGGAGAAAAATGATTAAAGTGCGAGTGAAAATGCTCATAATTTCAGAGATGATAAAGATTAAATGAGTTTCAAGTATCGAAAACGATTTCGGACTACCTCAACATGGTACAATCTGAAGATTACAACTGGACAATCTACCGTATCCTAAACAACTGAAATCAAAAGTCAATGTATATAGATTTATCTTATACCGATGTGGTTATGTAATAATTTTTCAACTTTGTGTTATTTTGATTAGAATCAAAAACATCACGTTTGGTTTAAATGCTAGATTTACCGGTTCTATATTTGCAAAGATGATGATGAACTGAACATAACTGAATTTTCAACTCAGAACTTTGCAGAAAAGTAAAGCGGTTCAAGTTGCTATGTCATAAAATTATACAAAAGTAAAAAAAGATGCCAAAAAACCTACAGTAAACGTGAATGTATTGCCGATAGAATAATCATGTGAGGAAAAATGAGTCTTATGGGTTGAAGGACTCATGAACAGTGAATCCATCTGATTCATTGAGAACGCTTTAAGCCATATCACCGATAGTCTCCAGCCATTGGTTAATCGAGTATCCAGGACCCCAGCCAGGCAGTCAACACATATTTACGTAGCTCAGAAGAAACAGTCAGAGACTTTTTGAATTGATGATAGGTTTTGATTCAGGTTCTTTTTTAACCTAATCCTATTTCAACTAAGATTGGTTTGATGTCTCAGCCATTCCAATCGATGCAACTTCATCGATGGACTCACCGTACACTCTACACCTTACCTCAATATTACTCATTATTACACGACTTAACGTTGAAGACAGAACACATGGATCTACGGCAAGAGACAGATAGTTTCTCCACTTGCAACAGCAGTAAAGAACGGAGAACTGCTGTGCTTTATACACGTTTTTTCAACCCGATACGGCGTCTACTCCAGAGATAGCGTATGTTGGAAAATTTCACATAAGCCTTTTTTATCTGTGCTGAGATTTCATCAGCAATCAGTCCACTGGGACCGGTGCAACTTCCTAAATAAGTGAACTAGTAATTACCCTCAAACACTTCAAAACCTATCTTTAAACTACGATTCGGTTCAGACAACTGCAGAATTGTCTTACATCTGACTGGGGCAAGTCGGGTAATAAATATACCAAGATTTCAGAAGACTGCATTTCGTCAGCATCTTCACTTAGAAGTACTACACCATTTGAACACTATAAACCAACAAGATTGTACCGCGGTAACAAGCCAATCCATCTATAGCTTATATTAACGTTATCTATTTGTGTCCATCTTTGATTTGATGAAGGTCACCAAGTTAGACAAAATTTACCTATGTTTGAAATTAGTGCTGACCAGAAATAAATGATTACCTGGACAGAATTGTTAAAGACATTCACTGTTGTCGGCTTGTCGGCATGGAATTTCATAGGGATCGCTTATATAGTTTCCTAACTGGGCCACCAGCTCCCCTGGTCGAGAATTGGAATTAGCTGCTAAAATAACTATATCTGAGCTTTTTGCTTTTAGCAGTAAACTAGACAACTTTTCATAGAATTCATTCTTTACTTCGTCCAAACTGCAGTCGATTCAGCGGAGATTATGAAAAGACATCTACGAATATCACGATTCTCGTTGATCCGTCCAGCCGGAGAGCACACATGCAACTGTTGACTGTATTCCAATGAAGTGGCGACTTTCTGCCCTAGCTCTCAATGCTATTGCCACACTAAAGATTCTCAACACTTATAAGTTGAATTTTGTAGACTCACCCACCACCCTGGTCAGTTGAAGTCGTTTCAATAACTACATTTGGGTAGAGATAGTTATTGATAATAACCTAGATTGCTTTTATTAAATTATTTCGCTATACTCAGGGAAGCCAGAGTCATTTAGATAATCACATTATTCAAACGAATGAAGTTTGGGAGGCAGTGATTCTCATAAAATGTAGCAAACTGATAAATCAATTAAAACGGCATGATACAGTTAAGCAAATGAAATCAATGACAATATTATCTGCCAATTTATTGTCAACTGGACAGTTAGAGATTTTGCCGAAACAACTCTATTTAGTTGCTTATTATTTATTTACTCATGCAGCGGTAATTTACACTAAGGTGTTGTATATTTTTGCTGTTACAAGGCAACAAATTTATTAATAAAGTTTGACTAAACATAAAACATTCAGCGACTAACTGACAACTCAATTCTGCTTATGTTGTATACCAATCCTAAAGATTTCAAGTGTGTCAAACATGTAAACAAATAATAGTACATGATGCCAGAATAATGATTATAAGAAGATAGATCCTTAGTGATTAGACAGGGTTAAGTTAAGAAATCAAGCTTGTTGAAGTAATCACATTTATAATGATTTATGAACTCAGAAATCGTACAAGAAACAATGTATACTACTGAGCGACTGCATTCAGCAGTGTAAGGCAGGTAGGTAGACAGTTACTTAAAGCTGTTATACAGAATTGTCAGAACTTATATACAGCACACTACAGCTTACCTTTGTTGTGTAGATTCATCCTTAGTCAAACTTGATCGATGATGGCGCAGAGTTCTCATAGGTGGAGATCCTGGGAATGCCCTGAATAGAAGCGGATAGTAAACAGTAAGTCAATAATCTATATTATTGTGAAATTCTTCAATGCATTTAGTACGAAGTACATATACAGAAGATTCACAAGCAAACAGTTTGAGGTTTATTCAGAGACTATTTATTTTTGGTCTGAATGGTGATTCGGTAAGTGGATAAATCACACTGATAGTCTAGTTGTAACTTACACAACATCCGGTGGCACAACATATACCAAGTATTTTGGTAAAACTGTTTTAATCACTTGGGATGGCATCAAATGTGAAAGTGAGATACATTCATTAGCATCGTGTCACATTAGTAAAATAAGTCAACTAAGAGACTTATTTCTATGACATGATTTGGCATATTACTTTTCGAGAATAAAGCAATTATACTATATTTATTCCTAAATCAATAAACAAAAATTAAAACACTAGGTTATTACACAGTAGTAGGATTTAGAAGGGACTGAGAAACAAATCTCTTTATTCTTCAAGACTAAGAAGGGAAGAAGAAGTCGTGATAACAGAATCATCCATTTATGTTTAAGATGAATGCTAAAAATAATTAGTTCAAGAGCCATTCGCTTTAAGTCTATCATCTAATTTACTTCAATGAAAATCCAGATGCCAAATCTATATTTCCTACAAGCAAAAGGACTGATCCTACGAAACACCAATTCATTAGCAACACCACAACATATGCCGTTGGAGATTAACAAGCACAACTGAGAGGACTGCGATGAAAGAATTTGTCTATTCACCTAAAATTCAGTTTTTACTCAGGAAATTATCTGCTTCTCGTCATGCTGTCGAAAAAGACGTGAGGATAAACTGGTTCTGTGATTCATAAGTTTAGGTGCCCAACTTCCGACCACTGGGTCAGGGTTTCAGACGCCGCTCCAGATAGCACTACCAATCGCAGTTGGTATTAAGTAGCATGATCCTGCAGTATGAGACTGAGAATTACGAGTTGCAGTAAGCAATTAGGTATTTTATTTGCAAAGTTAGGATAAAACGAATGGTCAAGTAGCAAGTCTATTTTACATTAACCCACTAAGATATTAGAACAATGGTTTTCTATTCACGGTCACAATCAAGGACACAGATAACTTCTACTGTGATAAAATTTATAAACCAATATAATTAATGGCACAGTGGGATTTGCACTTGTTTTTAGTTTGTCATATCGGAAGCAACGGTAAGATAACATTGTGAAACATCTGCTTCATTATAAAGACTTTACTATTTTCTTCGTATTACGACGATGCTCCGAGGGATTTTAAGCCTGAGTATCTTGCAGTGTTATCATATATTTTTTGTTTCAACATAATGAGATTAACTCAGGATAAATATAACTTAATCTAAGGTAGGAAGTTATCACGCTGGTTATGACATTTCATCCTTGCAATCCACTCAAACCTAAACCACTTCTATGGATAACAGAGACAGGAGCTATTCAGATAGATACTGGAATAAAAGGGAATGTACATTGCTTCAAGTTGTCAGACTTCTTGCGGGCATAGGCCTCATACTACAAACCACATATAATTAGTCCCAGCACTACTCCCTTTGGAGTCAACCAAAGCTACGACAGTCGAGTGGCGGGACAAGCTACGCAGAAGTTTACCGAAGATCAGGAACCTATACCTTACAATCAAGAAGCGAGCAAAAAGAAATCAAATTGGTTTATACTAGCCCGCAAAAACGATATTGGATGTTTCCTGGAGTTCCAGGAGGTGATTTCAGTGTGACATCTGTATAAGGTAAAAATTTGAAACCATAGCAATAATACTCCGTTATTCGCCTAAACTTGTCATGCAGTCGATAGGAGCATTCTACAACACCAAAAACTAACCTGGAGAACCTCTCTGGCTCAGAACGCGCATAAGACGGAAACGCAGAACTCTCTACCCCATATCCATCTTCTGGATCATCGATGGGTCTCACAATCCCATTCTGAAACATATCCCTTAAACGTGACACCCTTGACAGCCTTCGGGGACACATATCTTCAGCCATGGGTTCTTCACTTCCGTTTGTAGTGTGCAGCGTGTCGCTTAGTACAGACATCTTAAATTCATCGAGTGACTATATGAATTCATAACTAAAACCACATTCCAATGACAATGTTTGAGTAACCGCCGAAAGACTGTATACGGACAAGCGACCTTGTAGGTATGAATCTCGCACTTTAAATAACGTAACAAAGAAAAGAAATTAGGCAGTGTTTCTCTCACTGCAATGGGAGATGTAAGAATTTTTTATAACACTGAAACTCTCTGAAAGTATTACTTGTCACCTCTTTTGTCTCTACAGCTCCATTTCGAACCGTGTTTTCTTCCAAAATTATATCAATCTGATGGCTCTCTACTTAGATCAAACTCTAAGAAGAAGAGGCCCTATCGTTGAAAAGTAAGTTAAAGTTCTATCTTACTCGTAAAACTCAGGACTATCGTGAAAAACGAATAACAATATATTCTTTAAGTGACGATAAATTCAGCAACCATTATTTTTGCATGCCTGCAAACTTCATTTTCTCACTAGCTTACTTATTCCGATTCCTACAGAGAGGCGAATTTGTAAACCCTGTGCCACTCTCCTGGTCATGAGTGCTTCCCTAAATGAAACGAACCAATATATAATCTAGTCGGTGAGTGATGTGAGAAATCAATCAAATTCATTGGAACAGGTAGAGCTTTGTTTGACCCTCCTCTCTTGATCACCTCATTCATCTGTGCTTCTGAAATTCTGGACTCGGTTTGGCAACCGATGGATGTTTCGAAAAACACCATAATCTTGATCGTGTTTCGCAATGTTTGAATATTCCTATACCTTCTAGTTTTCAATCAACTAAACACCTTTTCTACGAAAAGTGTACTCTTTCTTCACTAGAAGAGTTACATTAAGCGACATCCGATCACCAAGTTATGGTAGGTCACGCTGAACGCATCGGTGGGATATGTGCAAGTTACAGTCCTATCTGGATAGATAACGACATAAACGTTGTCAATGTTCTTTTGTTCAGGCCGACGACTTCGGAATCTCCAAGGGATTTAAACTTAGTGGTCTTTCATTTTTCATCATGATTTGATATTCGTAGTCTCAAAAACAAATAGGTTGTAGATGGGAGTTTCGAAAAATGGTGCGACATAAAATCTAAAGTAGATGATACCTATGATGAAGTGAAAATAGGAATCAACAATTTCAGTGATAACCTCGCCTAGTTGACCTGCCCGTCAGTTTTCTAGCCGGTCGGCGCAGGGTTGGGCGTGGGACTAGCAAACCCACACCGACAATCATATCGGACCTCTCGAGAGACTCCAACGCACGGAAAGTTTACTTACAATACAGAAAACTCAAAGAACGCTTCTATTCTTCGCTCGATTCGAGAGGCGAATTGCCGTGGGTTGGTGAAAGCCTTCGAGAAGCCAATCAGCTAGCCAATGTGTCTTCTCTCAATGAAAGCAAGGATAAGATTGGGTACGTCAATAATTTACACCAGTTTCGTCACCCAGGTGACAGCCACAAACAAATCGAGGGAGTGGCCTTCATGATTTTACCAGTGGCAGCCAAAACCCTAATGCAACGGGAACCAATTTCATCCAGGATCATGACAGTAAGATTCAATTCAAAAGGAAGGTAACAATTATCCAATACTACACACAGTTCTACAAACAACGCGGAACAAGAAAAAGAGGAGGATTCTAACAGACAACTACAAACAGTAATAGACATCTCAAATGGCGACATCAAGATCCTCATGACTGATATGAATGCCAAACTGGGAGCAGATAATACAGGAAGAGAACTCATCATGGATTGAGAATCTTTCAGGGAAATGAATGCGAATGGGGAATTATTCGCCGACTTCTGTGCTTTCAACGATCTGGTGATCGCAGGAAGTGTGTACAAGCAAAAGGTATACACTAAGCAACATGGGTTTCGCCTGACGGACACACACCACAAACCAAATAGACTTCATCTCAGTGCTCCTCAAGGAATTGGAGACGCCGACAGTCTGCTGGACACAAAGTCGAGATGGGGAGCAAATATGGGCTTAGTTCATCATCTAGTTCAAAGAACTTCCTAGGTGAAGCTTGGCAAAGTTAAACTTAAGACACCACTAACAACTAATCAGCAAACGACCTTGAAGGAACCAATTACATTAAAGAGGCATATATGATGAATGGAAACGTATATTTATAGAAAAAAAGCACAAAATAGAGAATAAAATAGTTACATGGGATATCTTTCTCGAACATGTGAGAGAAACATCTCCCAGTTTAGCATGGGACTGTCAATGCTTTTCCATCTGCTATCCCTTTGACGAATCCCTTTCGGAGGGAGGTGTCATACGAACCTATTACCCAAATATTGTTCGCTCGCTGGCGACCACGGTTGTATTTCTTTTTTACCAACACTGTCTCATCGACATGCACGATAACGTCTTCCCCACCTAGCAAACAAGTGATTATCTCCAGTTTCCATGATGCCATGTCTCTGCAATGCTGGCACCACCGAACTGTTGAGACATGGCTATTCTTCATCTCGGCAGCTGCTGCTATCACAGCCTGTTTCAACACCCATTAATTGAAGATATGCAAAATCTGGGTTAGGGAGAGATGCGACCTAGCGAAAGTAAGTTCCTACGAAATATTAAAATTATCAGCTTACCCTCCCCAGTGTTAGTAGGCTTCAAACATATAGCACAACGATGAACGAACCCATCATATAATTTGGTATAGCTTTATAAAGTAATGATACCACCACACAAACAAATTCGTTCTTTCCGGAGCAACTCAAATCCAGGAAATACTAGAAAACACTAATCTCCTCGAATTGCAACAGTAGCCTTGTAAGGTCACGCATCAGAAATGAATCAAGCGCTATACAACATTGAACTGCGTTCGTGAAGCTCATTGGATAATTCGCCGATTGGTAGTTAGTGGTGTCGAAAGTTTAACTTCGCCTGAAGCTCAAACCCTTCGAACAACTAGAAACAGATAGTTAAACATTCCGAAACTAAAGGACAAAACTACACGGGATACCTATATCACCAGAACCAGAGGGTATCCCCACACCCCGAAGCACTGAAGACGGCCCCAGAGATTACGGCAGATGTTCTTACCCCATTACTGCCAAAGGTTTGGAAAGAAGGATAGGTGACTACTGATTCGAAGAACGGCTACCTCGTCAAACTGCCAAAGAAGGGCGCGAGTACTGACTGGCATGGATCCACGCTCTTGTCCACGCCAAGTAAAATAGCAAGTCGCATCATCCTGGAGAGAATAAAGGATGTGCTGGATACAAAATTGCACCACTTACCGACCTGAACAGGCTGGGTTCAGGAAAGGCAAATCATGTGCTGATCAAATTGCAACTCTACGCGTCATCGTCACAGAACAAACCACAGAATGGCAGGCAAACTTTTACTTCAACTTCATCGACTTCGAGAAGGCCTTCGACAGCGTTGACCAAGAAGTAATTTGGAAACTACTTCAACACTACGACGTAACTCAGGTGTTCATCAATCCCATTCAACAGCTATATGGCAGTGGCACGTGTCAGGTGATCAAGAACGGAAAACTCAGCCAGGCGTTTGAAGTGAACACATGAGTAATAATAATAATAGTATATTCTCATTTTGTACATGAGGGACGCCAGTTTACAGGCATCATCAGTCTGATAAATTACATATACGATCAGCAATCATACTTATTAATAATGTTTTAATAAAATACACATTTTTTCCTACCTGTGTAGGACACACCAAATGTACAGGCATGGATAAGCATTATTTAAATTTCATAAATTTGGTTTATGGTTAAATTGCATGGTTGCTGACGTTTCTGTCTTGGTTTGTGGGAACAATATGATAACCAGTCATTCAATGGAGCACATCATGAAATATAGGAATATTGACTTCGCATTAACAAAAAAACCCAAGTAAGTTTTGGATGGATTAAAAATACTTGGGAAAAAATAAAGCTTGAAGTAATTCCTCAATATAACTTGGGTGTGTACAAATCCGAATCTCATTTTTGATTTATATCCAAATTGGGTAATAAGGAAGCTATTTTTACAGATACGATCAGTTATGTTATAAGCTACAATCGTGACGTTGTATTACAAATTGATACTTTTCCATTGGTATAAGAGTATATTCCACAAATGTAATCCAGGTTGCGTCGTGGGGAAAGTTAATTCGTTATTAACCAGGCAACTGAAAGATACGGGACCAATAATGTTTGCAGATCATTTGTCATTGTAAATGGTCAAATATCCACATTATTCATTCTCATTCAAAAAGTCAAATGGAAGCTGAAATGGTGAGAGAAAAAAGAAGACAAACAACAGCAACGCAAAAGAAAGCAACGGGAGTCCTTAAGGAGTGATTAATAAATATATACATATATATTCTGTTTAGTAACTATGGTTATTTTGGTTCACAAACTAACTAGTCCCGTTATGCTAACTTTTATATTATGTGTGAACTAATATTACTGTCCTGTGTAGAAATGTTTATCATCTAGTTCCAATAATATTAAAATTTATAATTGTAGTTTGTTGTAACTACACGTTTAAAGAACTTAAAATATCTATGTAGGGTGAAAAAGAGGGTGTAAGAGTCAGACGAAAGTGCATTGTCATCTTTGAGCAGTCTGGTGACTGAGGAGATGAACACTGGAAGTGTGTTTGCATCGCGCACATTAGCTGGTAGTCTATTCCAAATGACTGAAAACTTATTTAAGAAGAAGTTGTACCGCACGTAAGTCTGACAGTGCTCCATAGCAGCTAGGTTGTGATGATTTCTAAGATTGTAACTGATGACAGCGGTAGGTTTAGTTATTGGCTCGGAGGAATGCAAGAGAAGATTAGTTAGCTTATAGTAAAAGATAAGGTTTAGCTTAAGGCGTCTTTTCCAGAGGGGTTCTAATCTTAGTCTTTCGCATCGCTCATGGTATTCCAGACCACTTTCTAAACCAAGAGTTCTTGAGGTAAACTGCCGTTGCACTCCCTCTAATTTAAGCTTGTCATTTTGTCTGAGTCCGCTAAGAATAAACGGGCAG